CTATCACATGAGTCAGAAAATTCCCATAAAATCATCCAAAGACTATTTTCTGAGCCATTTTTAATCTTCTACTCTTACCCTTTATGGGTACTCTACTTTCAGGTACAAATGTGCTTGGTAAAAGCAGCATTGCAGAGCATATTACTGGAAGTTTACAAGTTCTCCACAATAAACTAGAGAATGAATCATTCCATTATATCTATTACTTATGTGAAAACAGAAGAAGGAATAAGGCTAAGAACTCAGACAGTACTCTTTCTTCCATGTATCCAACTAAGACTGTGATTTAAAGAGTGACATTTCTGGGGTCAATCAATGGTCCTAAGGACAAAGTCACCTTCCTTCCTTCCCTGCTTGCTGATGGCCTAGAGAAGGCATGGCTTCTACCTGAATCTTAGTTCCTTTGGTTGTTAAATAAACGTAGTAAATGGAATCTGCCTGACAGGATTAATCACTAAGAAATAGCATATATAAAATACTTGATTGTTGGCATATAATAAGCACTGAATAGATTCTGCATAAATCGTAATACAATGAGAGGAACAAGCAATGATTGTGACACCAATAATGACATCAGTTGGGTTTGGATTCCAGTAATGTAAGCTGTTATCCTCTCTGTTGCATACCAACCATGAGACAGTGCTGGGTTTATTCTCATATGTACACTTGCCCAAGCCTCCTAAAGTTACTGTGGGAACTTAGTAGCATGTGCCTGGCACAGAGAAAGTTGACAAGAGAGGCTGATCTGCCCCAGAGCCCTGCAGAGACAAACACTTTTCTCTGAAAGGGGCTTATCTCTCCCTGTGATTTGACTGTGGACAGTAGGACTCTTACCTAAAAGCAGCAGCTTAGGGAAAAGACCAACTCAAAATTAATAAATTGGTTAAATGACTTTTTACCCATGAACTAGGATAATCTGTGTATTGTTTAGGTAAGCCCCACCCCAGCTGGGAAGAGAATCAAAGTTGCTGAACTTGGTCGTTGTTGGATGTCCTAGTGATTATATCCATCCATCCATAGTCACGGATGCTTCCCTGGAGGAACCATGAATGTCCTTACAGGCAAAAGGTGTCACATGGTAATGTTTAGAGAAAACAGTGCTGGGTTTTGAGAGCTAGCTCAGTGGTTAAAAAGGCACATTCTGCTCTTGCAAAGGACCCAAGTTTTGTTCCCATAGCAACAGCAGAAGGCTCACAACTGACTTCCCTAAGGGATACAGCACCCTCTTCTGTCCGCTAAGAATACCTGCACTCGGATGTACGTAGCACAGACACATACTTTTAAAATATTAATACTTAGGCAGAGGCAAGGTGGATCTCTGTGAGTTCGAGGCTGGGCTGGACCGACAGCCTCCAAAACAATACAGAGAAACCTTGTCTCGTAAAAACCAAATAATAATAATAATAATAATACTTGAAAAAGCAGTCCATCTTGGAGAGTGCAGGAAAGAACCATGGAGACAAGTAGCCAAAGACAGCAAGGTCAGTCCTCCTAAAGGAGATGAAGACAGGACCCATGGACAGTGCCTGAAAAGAAGAAAGAGCAAGGAACCAGGAAAAGGATGTAGCAGAAGGTTTGCTATGAACAAGCATAGGGGCAAAGGACTCAAACATCACCATGGCCATGACTGGAGCCCCAAAGGGTACAATTCAGTAAGCAACAGGACTCAGAATTGCTGCAGGATGGGCTGGCAAAACCAGCAGAGACAGCTGATCTGAACAGGGGGAGCTCTTGAACCCCAGACCGACAGCTGGGAGGCCAGCATGGGACTGATCCAGACCCCCTGAATGTGAGAGTCAGTGAGGAGGCCTGAGCAACCTATGGGGCCCTGGGCAGTGGATCAGTGTTTATCCCTGGCGTACAAACAGACTTCGTGTGTCCATAACACAAAGAGGGATGCTCTCTCAGCCTGGACTCTTAGGGGAGTGCCTGGACCCTGCCCTGAGTGAAATGACAGACTCTAGATATCCCCTATGTGGAAGGAAGTGGCGATAGGGTGGGAGGCTGGGGGGAATGGTGAGAAGGGGGTGCAGGAGGAGGGGAGGCAGAGGGAACTGGGATTGACATGTGAAACAAGCTATTTAAAATTAAAATAAAAAATTAGAATTATATTCATAAAAAAAGAATTGCTGCAGGATTGCTAAATCTCAGACCTTGCTGTCACTCCTCTCTGAAATCCAGCAACAATCTGAGTGGCGTGGGTCAGCACTAAAGTGCATGGCTTAATTCGGAGTGTGAAAACAGCTAACAAATTACAGCATGATTTGTCATCATCTCAGGACTCACTGCCTGTCCCTGGAAGACTCAATACCTGGAGGGACAAGATCCATATTGTTAGATACTCCTGTGTGGAGTATCTCCAATATTTCAAGTGAGAAGAGGGTTTATTCATGTTGGCATCCCCATGGGTGCAATGGACAGTATATTTACACAAAGGCAGGAAATGCTATCATTTCTTCCAATCAAGTTGCTCCTTTGAATAGCTGTGATTTGCAACTCTGAGTGATAAATGTCATCACCCATATGCTCAAAACTCTACCCAGGAACCATTCCCACCACTGTCTTCATCGCTGTTGCCCTCTGTTTGCATAGAGTGAAACACATTGTGGAACTCTTCCATATTGAGTCTATCTTCTAAGGCACCAATGAGATAGGCAGGGCTGGAGATATTAGCTCCATTTGACAGATTAAGAAACCAAGGCTCAAGAATTAAACACAGGATTATTCAGTGACGAATAGAGTTGGAAAGCAATATCATCCCCTCATCCCTAGTTATGTTTTACTACTGCTACATTATTGCTGAAATGACTTCAAAAAAGGAGAGTTTTTATAAAAGCAAAACAAATGAAAATGATATAAATATTGAATGAAAGAAAATAGGGTGCACCTTTGTGATTGGCCTTTTCTGGTGTTCCTCAGCATATTTAAATTGACATTCAAAAATGTTCAAGGTAGGCTGGGAAAGAGAGTTCAGTACAGCACATGTTTGCTTTGGATCCCAGTACCTATGTAAAAAGTTGGGCATGGCAGGGTCTAGCTGTAATCTCAGTGCCAGGGACAGAGAGATAGGAAGAGATGTAGTGCCTGCTGGTCAATTAGTCTAATCAGTGATTCAGTAAGAAACCCTGTCTCAAAACACAACAAATAAGGCATGGAGCATTGAGGAAGGCATAATATATTGACCTGTAACCTCCACATACACATCATACACAGACAGTTTGAAACATGACCACTAACTCATTTTAAATGCAAAAAATATATATGAATATGCATACATGCGTATGTTTACACTATTTCTAAAACCTGGAAATATGCACATAAACATGTTGACTGTAGCTGTCTCTAGTTAGTGTGCTTATCATATTTATTTATTTGTTTGTTTATTTATTGTTGCTGTTAATGTTGTTTAAAAACAGTATCCTGTTATATAGTCAGCTTGGCACTGAACTTGTGACTCTCCTACCTCAGCGTTTTGACTGGTAGAATTACCATCTTCAGCATGAAAAGCCTTCTTTTCCCTCTCATAATTCTGTGCTACCCAACATAATAGCCACTATCCATATGTAACCACTCAAGTTTAGTTTAAATTCAATTAAATTTGAAAAATAATTAAAACCAGCATGCTTCAAATGCTCAATGGCCACACCTCACTGATGACTTCCATACTGGATGATGTGGGCTTGGATTGAGAAACCCTGGACTACACACAAACACCCAGTGCTACCAAAATAACATAGTTGGTACAGCCACATTACTTTTTATATTTTTTATTCTTTGGCAGTTTCAAACACATATACCATGATAATTGATCATATCTACTCATAACTGTCTCCCTCCAACTCTTCCCTAATCTCCCTCCCAACTTCATATCTTTATTTACTGTTATGAATAACCCCCTGAATACAATTAGTGTTGTGTATCTGTGCATGGCCTGCTCCATGGGAGGGATTCTATGCCTGGTACTATAAATCTGGTCAAAAGCCAATGACTATGGTGATTATAGGCCCCAGATAGGAACCTACAGTTATTTTTGCTGAATATTCATCCCATCAATCTGCAGTCTATGACTTGGCCTTGTACAGCTTGGGTCCCAAAACACAGACTAAGGAAAACAAGGAAATGAAGAAATTACTGACACATAGACAATGAAGCTGGAATGGGGTTGTCTGACCTCTTGGATGGGGAAATATATATATACAATCTGCAAAGAGTTAAACAAGGAGGTGGAGTTATTACATACATATAAACAAGGAGGTGGGGTTATTATATACAACTAAACAAAGAGGCAGATTTAGCTAATCTTGGTAGGCAGAGTCTCTGTAGGGTACCAGTTTTTAAGTCATAAACATGAGAAGGAGGCCTATGTGGAGAGTTTCTACATACACCATCAACAGTCACACTCACATCAGAGGAAGTTTTCATTCCTTTCCTCTGTCTGAGGCATTGATCTTCTTTGACATGACTGTACCTATGTCAACATTACAGATTCACTAAGTACTTCACTTGCTCCCAACAATTCTAAATATGTCTGCTTATGATCACAGATTGTGTGCTTTCAACTTTGGTCAGGGAAGCTTGTTGTTGCAGGGGCCAATGATTAATGAATAAACTCATAACTGGTCAAAACAGCAAACATACTTAGTGTGTATTTAGCTATTGGCGGGTCATCTATATACTAGCCTCCCACCATCCAATGCTCAGGAACTTCATGGAAGAGGGAGGCAGCAAGAATGTGTGAGCCTATGGGTGGGAGGAGAGCCATGAGATGCTGACTTCTGCTGCATCTACCTCCCTTCAACGTACACCTAACTCAGTTCCTATTGACTTTCTTATCCTTGATGAAAACTTAGCTTTAACCTAACATGCTGCCAGCATCACGGTGTGGTAAAGCACATTAGCCTCATTTGCAATGCTCATTAGCATCGATTAACTCTCCCCACAGTCCTATACTGACTAGATCCCTTTGATGCAACTGCCTCACGGGGTCCTATCTTTTGCAGGAGCTGCAGTTCCAACCAGAATACTTCCACAGTACCATCATATGTGAACGACCCAACAATCACCTCAGCAAGTTTAAGGGTTATATGTAAGTACCTAAGACCCTTGGATTACTAGTAAACACCTCCTCCACTTCTGGAAAATATATTTTCTTAAAATGACCAGAAAGTTAAGAGTCCAGATCCTGAAGTTAAAGATTTTTGAGTTTTAAAGACCTGGACTTGAGGTGTAGTTCCCCCAACAATAAGCTGTGTGAGCTAGATCAATTTACTTACCTGTCAGTTCCTTGGGTGCCATCTTTGCCAAGTAAAAAGTGTAATACCTAATGCCACAGGACTTCTCTTCCCTAAGGATCAAATTGTCTATCATATGCAGAGCTTAGGTTAGCAAAACTGGGAAAAATAAAAGTTCAGTTAATCATAGATATTTATGTTAGGTTTCACCTTAAAATTTTACTATAATTTTGGCCCACATCAGATAGATGATCTATTTGCAAAGAAAGATTCACAAGTACAGATATAAGTAAATGTCTACTCTTGTCCATTGATACAGCAGTTCTCAGAGCACTTTTGCAGAATACCATCTTACGAGGTCTTTACAGTCACTCAAGGAAGTGGGGACCACGGTCTCCATGTTGCAGATGTGGAATATTATGCTCTAGACTTCTGAATTCATTCAGAGTTTCACAGAAGGTACCAAATATCCCCAAACTGATATGTTTTTGATTGTCATGCTTCATAGAGTTCAGCTGTATTTGGCCCATTCCTTACCAACAGGGTTCCAGGCTGCTGGGATGCTTCTTCACCAGATAGGTTCTCAGCCTATGTGTGATGTCATGAGGAAGTAAAAAGAAGGGAAAAATAAGAATACAGAATATACATACAGTAGCCTTGAAACTATTTACTTTTCAAATACACAGTAAAGACTGATGGAGATAGGTAGAGACTGATGTAAGCTGGGGAACAGTTCTTTGTGTGCCTCTGTCAATGAAGCAGCTGTTCATCGTCTCCAGCCAACATAGTCTCTCGTGTCTGAGTTGGTAGATTTGTTTCCTCCAAGTCACCTGTGTCCTAGTGATCAGCTTCATGGCCTGGTTTTTCCTGTGGCTCTTTCACCATCAAACTCATGCTTACTAGCAACTAGCCTGTCTCGCTGTCAATCTGGACTCAGGCCTACCTACCTCACACAGACTTCAGACAGCACTGGCCCAGGCTCTACTCATCTTAATACTCCTTCTTTTCGGCCACTGCTCCTAGAGACTTGTCTTCCCCCACTACCTGACCTCAAGGATAAGCCTGGGAAATCCAACTGGTCAGTCCATGGTCAACCCAAAGATCATAGAAGATTCTACCATCCGGGCCTATATCTCTATCTACGTCAGACAAAGAGAAGACTTTTAGACCCAGTACCCACAAACCAAATGTCTAATAATTCTGTGTTTCCTCAAAGCTTCTGAGTCTCCTCAGTTGAGGAATCCTCTATGATTACACAGATTGGCAAGGGGAACAGCTTTTTAGTGGTCTACTTGAAGATAATGCAACCATTTGGACTAGTGGGGTAGTTCAATTAGTAGAGTCTTTCCCTAGCATATATGTAACCCTGAGTTCAACCCCCATAACTGTATAAACTTGGGATAGTAACATAAACATGTAATTCTAGCATCTGGAAGATAGAGTTAAAAGGATCAAAAGTACAAAATCATAGTGAGCTACATAACAAGCTTGAGGCCAGTCTTAGCTACATGACACCTTTTCTCCATAAATAATTGATTAATTAAACAAATGAATCTCTGTAGGACCTCCGTTCTCCCTCTGAGACAATATTCTTCTCCTTAATCAGGAGTCTTTTAGCAATGTCTGGAGGCAGTATTGGTTAAAACAGCTGGGAAATTGTGCCACTGGCTTTTTATAGGCAGAGTCCAGTGTACCACCCAACATCTTACAGTGTACAAGAAAACCCCACAACAAAGAACAGTCCTGCCAAAATGTTAATGCCAAAACATAAATGCTGCATGTTGACCATAAACATCTCTGTTCACAAAGCGCGTTCAATAGAACAGCACCCATAAGATGGCTAAGCCTTTTTTCCCACATATCCAAAAATGGGCACTTTTGGTGAGAGAAGAAACTGGCTATCCCTTGTGCTATTACTTCAGACAGTCATAAAAGCCACAAGCAGTCTCTCACCTAAGATTCAAAATCATAAGATGTCTAGTATACCTTGTTTGTGGCCTTGGAAAAAAATCCCAGCCTTTGTAAGCTTTAGTTTTTACAAAATGACCCTGCTAACTTTTCAAAGTCAGGAAGAATAAAATATAATTATGTAAGTGAACATAGTTTATAAGAAGAATAAGGAATTGTTAGCATTTAAATGGATACTGAGTTTGGACATGGTGGCACATGCCTATAATCTCAGCACATGTGAGGTTAAGGAAGGATGATCATAAGTTCAAGGCCAGTTTGAACCACATAGCAAGATTCTGTGTCAAAAAAGAGCATCTTTATAAATTGCACATCCAGCAGAGGATCAAGGCATTGTTCATCAGAGAACTTTCTTCTTACCATACATGGTAATTAACACAGAGATCTACAAATATACACTATGCAGAGAGACTTTGGAACACTCAGTCTTGAATGAGATGTCTATATCAAACTTTCCCCTCAAGGCTCAGGACTGTATCAAACTTTCCCCTCAAGGCTCAGGGATCAATGTGGAAGAAAGTCAGAAGGATTTTAAGAGCCAAGAGTAGGAATAACTCTGTGGAAAAAGCATCTTCCAGCCACAGTGAAACTGATGCACTCATAGATTCACAGAAAGAAGGACAGCATGCACAAGACGCAGATCAAGTTCAAACCAGACAAAAATCCCAGAATGGAGAAGACGATATGGAAGCAAAGTCCCACCCACAAACAAGAAGCTGTTTGTAATTGATACCTACTGGGAGAGGTTTAAACCAGTTTTCTTCAGTAGAGTGGTACTGAGTATATCACCGACAGTTCAGGGCAGGCCCCACGCTCAGGATTGTTGGCCAAGACAAAATGAAGTCCATGGTTTTTGTGTTCGTATTGTCTTGATTTGGTTTGTTATCTGTTTGTTTTGGTTTTTGGTTTGGGTTTGGGATTTATTTTTTTTGTCTTTGGGATTTTATTGTTTTGATTGGGGAGTTGTTTTTCTTTGAAAGAGAGAAAAAGACGAAGTTGGGTGGAGCGGGAGGGGGAAGTTCTGGGAGCAGTTTGGGAAGGGGAAAATTAATCAAAATATATTGTATGAAAAATTATAGCAATAAATAAAAAAGAGAATTGTGTGTAAATCAATAAGCATGTTGAGTATGAACATAACATGAAAGAGCAAGATAATTGTTCAAAAACATATTCTGCCACTTACTACATCTTTGAATTTACCGCCAGTGTCCTTCCTATAAAGTAGATATGATAGCATGACCTGGCTTATAAACTTCCTTCAGCTTAATTAACACATAGAAAAAAATCATGGCTGTACATAAGAAAAGGAAGTATTAAAGGGGGAATAAATTCAGTGTTAAGATTGCTGCTTTCCTATTCTCCCAGCGGCTTTAGAATATTACAGTTAAACCTGGTGCAATCCCAGAGAAAAGGAATCAGGTTAGAATGCCAAGCTGAAAATAATGGATAGATGGAATTATTCTGGCTCAGATGTTTGTAGCATGAATTGGAAAGCTGAAATACCTCCTGAGGTTCAAGATGAAAGACACATCTGTAGTTAGACAAAGGGCCACTGTTCCCTCCTCAGAGGCCTGCATGCTTTATGAGAGACTGAGCAGGGGAGGGAATGGATGGGGAGAGAGACACTGAGAGTGAGGTAGCCCAGGTGTGAGATGGCTGTAGCCCACCCCTTCTTGCTTCATTTTACTTCCAACATCAACCTTGTGATATAAACAGCAGGAGGACCTAGCATCTTCTATGGACCAGGATAGCTCTGCTCCCCAGCACTTAGGTAAGGGAGGAATGTGAACACTAGTCAAAGAAGACACAGCACCAGACCTCCAAGGTCCAGATGCCTATTCCCCAAATCAGTTTGAGGGTGAGAATTGAAATCTGGGAATTTTTTTCCAGCAGAGTTCTGCCTTTAGTGTGAATAAATTAGGAATTCCTCAGAAGGAATAATTCACTTCTGATGGTCCAGCCTCACCCAAGCCTCCCGGGAGCAATGGTGAGATTAATCTGGACATAGAGATAGCCCTTGAAATGGGGAAAGGGGGAAAATGGATTTCTTCCACTCATGGCTTCTAGTTCTGTTGCACTGACCAGAAACCACATAGAGAGACCAGCAGAACAGTGCCTGACTTTCACTCCTTTCTCCCAGGGAGCATCCTGACCAGACCAGGACTGGCTTTGGCAGCGAGAGTCTTCTACTCCGAGGCTGCACCATCCGCAACACCGAGGTGGCAGCTGGCATTGTCATCTATGCAGGTCATTGTCTCTGTGCAGTTTCTTTTTTCCAACATGCCTTAATGCTCCACTCTCCAAACTCTCCTCTTAAGTTCATCTTCAGTCAATAGAGACCCCCAGGGGCTCCCAGGGGCAGAGCCATGCAGCTTCCCATTTCTCAGCTAAGCACACAGAGGCTGGGCTCCTAGCTCACTCAGTATACCGGAGGCATAATGAGATGCTGAGTCAATACTGTGTATCCCACCAGATAGGGAAAGGGACTCAGTTTATCACTCCAGTGGTGGTGTAGGGAACAGAAGTACAAGCAGGTCTTCAGAATAACTCCCCCAAAGGATAATTTCTCCTTTCATGTCTCAGTTTTCCTACTTTATAATAGGTAGAATATATGTGTCTACTTTAGAGATTTTTGAGAATAAAATTACCTAACCCATGCCAGTCACCTAGTGCTATATCTAGTGAAGGGGAGACTGGATAAACTCCAGTTACTGTTTTCTTCCACTGTGTTCTGTTTATCCACTGCATGGTTCTAGGTATGGAGACATTTTCATTACTATACTATGATAGCTGAGGCAGGATAGCTTTCAAGAACAGAGGTTTAATTTAGCTCACCATGTGGGGAGGTGTAAGGACCTGACACAGGTATTGGCTCAGCCCTGGTTAGGACCATTTACCTATGTCATATCATTATGGGGCAGTCCTTTTGTCACGACAGACTAGAGTCTTCCAGAAGAATAAACTCCAATGTGCAAGTACGTGCTTCTCCCAGAAGCCTCTTCTATCTACCTAGAGTTAATAAGACTCTTACTACAAGTTAATTCCCTCCTCCATCCCCTGCCACACACACACAACCCTTATCCCATTTTGCAGATGAAACGTTCAAGTGCAGAGGAATCCATTTGCCTAAGGTCCCACATCCCCTTTAAGCCAAAGTCAAATGTGTACAGAGCTGAGTCCCTATTCTAGTACCCCTGTTCTAACTGCCTTGTCTTTGAACCCACTTCCTGCATAAAGAATGGAGGGGTCTCTGAAGGTGAGGACCCCTATGAGGTGAGTCTGAGGCAGGTAGTAGGCAATGAATGCAGCAACCTGTGCTTGTCACACTGTCAGAGCCCCTCACAACTACAGAAACCTGAATCTAGTTTAATAATCAGAACTCATTCGCTCCCACTGTCGTTGCTGCTTGAAATCCTCAAGGCAGCTAACTCAGTAGACTGAAGCCATTTGCTTCTGGAGCTGGTGTACTGGTTTTTCTTTAACATTACACAGAAGAAAACCATGAGTGGCATTTTTTCACTTTGACTGCTGGTGAGTAAGCATGGTAATTAAAATTCAGCAACTCCTAAGAGGAGACACTGTCTGAGGGCCAAGGGTTTCTCAGCGCCTCACTTGAAGTTCCCTGGGCATTATGGCTTGGTGGAAGGAAGGCTCCTGGCTTCCCACCGTGATTCCAATATTAATTTGTTCTTTCACGTTGGACAAGGTCCTTCTATCTTGCCTCTCAGTTTCCACAGGTAGAAAAGAAATAACTAGGAAAACTAATAGTCTTCCAACCTTGGCACTTTTTCCTTTGAACAAGATTTTATGTGGGAGTGTAGCTGCTGAATACTGACTAGGGTGACAGATATTGGCTCTACTGTTCTTCCACGTGAAATGTCAACATGTTAGACACAAAGAAACAAACATGGAACTGTTGACCCCACGTTCAATCTTTCAGCAGGACCTTTGCACATGCATTTCTTCCCATCTAAATTCCCAATTTTCTCTCAAAGGTCATGAGACAAAAGCTATGCTGAACAATAGTGGACCCCGTTACAAACGCAGCAAAATTGAGCGGCGCATCAACACAGATATCTTCTTCTGTATCGGCCTCCTCTTCCTCATGTGTCTCATTGGAGCTGTCGGTAAGGGATTTTCAGCAAAAAGCAATAACAGAAATCCTTTTCTTTTAGCAAGTCACTAATAATTCTGAACTTTTAACTTCCTTAAAGGAGAATCAAGTCTGCACTACCTACTTTAGTGGGATACTGATGAAAATTTCCCGGCGGTGTATATGTTCTTAAATATTAGCAATACTGTCAATCACTGATGGGTTGAAAAAAGTCTCATGGAACACAGATGTTCTCTGAGCATGGAGGGGTAGCAAGAGAAGTGACTCACAGGACTGGTCTTTGGAGAGTCCACGATCTCCCCAGAGAGAGTAAAACAACAGAATAAGCACTCACTCCACCCTACTCAAGGGGGGACTGCTCAATGGGTACAGCGTTATTTGCCTGTTGTTGCTGTGAAACTAAGTATCACTGAGGTGTTCAAAACAGCACAAACTCACTCTGCTTCTACATCTTTTTCTAAGTATTAGAAGTCCAATTTTACTGAGTTAAGATCATGATTTCAGTAGATCTGCTTCCTTCTGGTGAGACTGAGGGAGGAATCAGTCCTGTCTTTATCACTCTCTAGCAGCTTCCTGCATGCCTTTGTGCACTAGAGGCACCTTCCATTATCTGCTCATATCTCCCAGCCTTGTCTGTGGTACCTCCTTTTACAAACACATTTGTGATTACATCCTTGAACCCACTAGGAAAATCCAGGATACTCCCCATTTCAAATTTCATGTGTTAATCCCATCTGCAAATTCCTCTTTGCCTCATAAAACAGCCTCTTCCCAGAACCCACTGAAGAGAATGTTAGGAGTGATGTGTTATTTCACCTCCCATGGGCACTGTGAAAACACCAGTGAGGGGAGTCTTTCCTGGAGATTTACCTGCTCTAGCTGATTGAGGTGGACATTTGTTGCAGGAGACAGGTGGCAGACACAAGCTCAGGAACACAATGAAACAGGGAAATCTGGGGGAAGAAAAATGTTCTTAGCAACATGGGCAGCACAGGAGGATATGAAGATGAGAAGGAGAATGACTGTAGACATAGTAGCAGTTGGCTATCTAGTGTATAAGAGCAAGACCAAGCTCAGAAGGCATAAAAAGGAGTGAGCTAGAACCACTTAGGTTGATCTTCAGAGTGGAGACAAGAATGGGGTTCTTACCCATTTTTTTTTACATTTTATTTTTAAATTTAAATTTAAATTAGAAACAAGGTTGCTTCACATGTCAATTCCAGGTCCCTCTCCCTTTCCCTTCCCTCCTCCCATGCTTTCCCCCTAGCCCCCCAATATCCCCTCACTTCCCCAGGGAGGATGAGGACCCCATGGGGGTGTCCATAGTCTATCATTTCATACATGGCAGGGCCTAGACCCTCCCCCAAGAGTCTAGGGTGAGAGTGCATCTCTCATTGTTGGATGGGAGCCCAAAGTCCATTTGTATACCCAGGATAAATACTGATCTACTACCCAAGGCTCAATAGATTACCTAGGCCTCCTCACTGACACCCACATTCAGGGGGTCTTGATCAGTCCCATGCTGGATTCCCAGGCATCACTCTGGGATTCAAGAGCTACCCCTTGTCAGGTCAGCTGTTTCTGGGGGTTAAACCAGCCCAGTCTTAACCCCTTTGGTCATCAGTCTCCCCTCTATCACTGAATTTCTTGAGTTCAGCTCAGTGCTTAGCCGTGGGAGTCTGCCTCTGCTGCCATCAGCCACTGAATGAAGGTTCTGTTTCCCAGACTCTCTTGCCATGAGATTGTAGGCTGGGACTCCCCAGATCTATGTCTAAAATCCATATATGAGGGAGTACATGCCATGTTTCTCTTTTTGTGACTGGGTTCTTACCCATTCTTGCCATCATCTTTAACCTATGGATGTCTCACAGAATGCTTAATGAGGCCCCATAGAGAATCAGGAATGATTAAGAAGAAAAAAATCACAAGCCCAGACACCCCAGTGACCCTGACCCAAAAAACAGCAATGATGTTTGCTATCGGCCTTATTCTGAACTCATAACCATCACTCTATTTAAGCAGATGATGTCTAAAAGGCAAAGGGAAAGATCTAGCATGTCAGTGTGGTAAGGACCCTGGCACTTGGCCAGGTGTATATACTTAATGTACCTTGAAGGTGAGTCTACCAGTTGTGTGTGAGTAGGTGGCTCACAGCTGGAAAGGCAGCACATACAGGAAGCTAGAGGAAAACACAGCAAGGACGCAGCCACCCCCACCCCTGCCCACATGACTACAGAAACTATGCCTCCATGTTGAGTAGATGTTTCTGATATGGCAGCATTGAAAGTTTATTTGAGATCACTATGTCTCCAGACCCCCCAAAAAAAGTTAATGAATACATGGCCACACATAGATAAGGCCCCAGGGTTGGCTTTACAAGTTCTCAAAAATGATGAAGGAAGACTATCAATGAAGAAGGCAGGCAAATTCTCTATAGCAAATAGCAACTTTTATGAAACAGGACTCTGGTCCGTCATTAGAACAGGGCCTTTGAAAAGGAGAAAGTCCTCCCACAACAAGTATGATTCCAGGTCTCCTTACCAAATGTTCCCTCGGGTTTTATAACAAGGTGTGTTTTCTTGCTGTGCCCATTATGCCCTCCTACACACACACACACACACACACACACACATACACACACACACACACACACAAGCATACTCCCAGGCTGCAGGACCCTGGAGACTTCTTGTTCACCTTGTAGCCTCTCTGTTTTCTCATCTTACTGCAGGGGCCCCTTCTCTGTGCGTGTCTTCTGCTCTATACTGTCACCATTCAATTATGCCACATCTGTAATGCTCCTTTCCTCTGAAGTGACTGTGAAGAATTTGGACCAACCTCGGGGGAGGGGACCTTTGGGTAGGATGTCACCTTATGGCTCTTAATCTCTACAGTTCTTGCCCTAAAGCTGAGAGAGCACTTGTTTTAGCTAGGGTTTGCTCCACATCACATTTGTCATTGAGGAATATAGAGGTAGGAACTGAAGCAGAAGTTATGCAGGAGTGATGCTTACTGACTTCTTCCTCAAGACTTGCTCAACTGTTTTCTTGTACCATCCAGGACTACCTACCCAGGGGTGGCATCACCTCAGTAAGCTGGTCCCTCCCACATCAATCAAGAAAATGCATCACAAATTTGTCCTCAGGTCAATCTGATAAGGCTTGAAGTTCCCACTTCCTTGTATTAAAGCTGACAGAAAAATAGTCTTCACAGAATTCTACACAATGGGTTATTCTAGTTTCATAATAACCCTATAGGATAGCTATCACTAATTAACAGGCAAGGACACTCATATTCAGACAGATTTGTAGCAGGTTCTGCATGCATCTCATCTTGCATAATCCTGTGATAATGGATGTTGTCACCCCTTTAGCAAATAAGGAAACAAAGAGCTCCGTGTATATTGGTGTGAGTTCTGTGGACTCCCATAGCAACCCATCCCATTAGGGTCCTTTTAAGGTCAGAGTCCTTTTATTGGTAGCAACTATTCAAGAACAAAAGCCAAGACTGGTACAACGAATGATTTATTGGGTATAAGAGGGAAGAGTGGGAAGAGATAGATAATTAGGTAGGGATGAGTAGGACTGCCCAATCACACACTTCTTAAAAAACTGAAAAGCACATGTTCCATTATCTTCCCAACCCCATGTGATAAGACTCCATCAAAATGTAGGTAATCTTCATACTAATCTATCCAATAAAAACGGACTTAGTATCCATCATTTCATCAAGGGCTTGAATAGTGAAGGGTTGGATACATGAAGGATTGCTGCCATTCAAAAGGAAAAGAGAGGGAAGAGAGCCGTGTGTCATAGGGAATAAGAATGGGATCAGCGTTGGTGGCACACGCCTTTAATCCCAGCACTAGGGAGGCAGAGGCAGGTGGATATCTATGAGTGTGAGGCTAGCCTGGTCTACAGAGTGAGTTCCAGGACAGCCTCCAAAACAATACAGAGAAACCTTGTCTCGAAAAACAAAAAGAATGGGATCTTCATATAACCATCCATGTCCAGGAACAGGTTATAGGTACCTGGCCAATTTAGGAACAAGTAATGACTTAGTCTCATGCCTAGTTTTGCTTCTCCTCAGGTCACAGTATCTGGAATGGGACCTTTAAAGAGCACCCTCCCTTTGATGTGCCAGATGCTGAAGGGAACTTCCTTTCCCTTGCCCTTGGAGGCTTCTATATGTTCCTCACAATGATCATCCTGCTCCAGGTAAGCTCTCTTACTTCTACAGCTGTGGAAAAAATAAGTGTTAGCCCTAGAAAGAAGTAACAAAAATAAGATGGAAAGTTACAGCTTTCTGGAGCATTTACCAAGTATTCATATTGGTAATGTCAGGACAACCCCTCAGATATCTGTAGGAAAAGGTTAAGAATAAGACTGCAAAAGTCACCCATGTGTATGTCCCTTTGCCAGACACAAAACAAGAAAAACCCTAAAACCCAAGACCAAAGGGACAGTAAATAGCACAGAGAGCTACCAAGGACTCTCCAGCCCCAAGAGTTGGAGATAGAGAAAATTCATAGGTTAGTGTTCTAGCATTTGATAGACAAAGATGAAAAAGAACAAAGTGGATGAGAAAAACATAGCGAAGACATACAAACTATGTAGTAAGAGATTAAGAGATGTTTTATTTAAATATTTGGGCTCTATAAATAAACACAGAAGCTACAGTTTTGTTTGGTGACATCTCATCTATAGTCTACAGCCAATGTCTTTAGAACTCTGTTCCTGACTCATGAACCATTTTCAACCTCCAATTCATTATAGCAGTTTGATCCTTCTTAAAGGGAAATGAAAGCACACATCTTCTCTGCCCAGACTCTGCTGGTAATTTGTGGCTTCTCAGAATAAAACCCAACATCCTTACAGAAGCCAGCACAGCTTTAAACGATCTAGACCTTGAGCCAAGCTCATATCCTACAGCTCTCCTCCTCCATTCTTCCTGTGTCATGCCTGCTCACTATCTCCTCCTGAACACCCAAACCCCTCCCACTGCCCAGAATTCCCGTCCCAATGTGATCCTCACACCCTCATGTCTTTAATCTCTGTTCAAAGGTCATGTATGTGAAAGTCCATCAAGTCTGACTTTGTCCTCTCTGATGCCCTTTACTCTATTTCATAAGACAAACACATCATATATATTGATTTGTATATACATTGTCACTAGAATAGTTCTTTAAGGTCAGTTTTGTTCTAATAACCCCCATTTCCAAGACCTGGAATGATGGGCAACAAAGAGCAAGGCCTGGGTAATATCTGGCATTAGACTAGTGAACATAATCAGGAAAGGCCTGAGCTCCTGCAAAGCTGCCTATGACCCTCAATGCCAGAGATCTGAGAGCTCAGAGGTCTCTCAGATTGGTGCTAACTCTGGTACTCCAACATGCTGTCAGTAAACAGACAGTGATGAGTGCCTACCCCCAGACACTGTCAAAGAGGCTTATCTCCACTTCATATTCCCCCAGGAATTCCAAGAGAGACCTGAAGTCACTAACTTTTAATTTCTCAGGAAAACTCATGCTGTGAGCTGTCCTCACCTTCTTATCAAACACCTTTGCTATCCACCAGTGAGGGTCTGGGAGCAGGGTTCAAGCTGGCTTCTAACACAGTGTGAATCCATCTCCCCTTAGGTGTTGATCCCGATCTCCTTGTACGTGTCCATTGAACTGGTGAAGCTTGGACAAGTGTACCTCCTTCATAATGACCTTGACCTATATGATGAAGAAACTGATTTGTCCATTCAATGTCGAGCCCTCAACATTACAGAGGACCTGGGTCAGATCCAATACATCTTCTCTGACAAGACAGGGACTCTGACAGAAAACAAGATGGTGTTCCGGCGTTGTACCATTGTGGGCAGTGAATATTGTCACCAAGAAAATGGTATGAGAACCCACAAGCACCCTGCCCTCCAAGGATGACAAGGATAAGCACCTCACCCTCTTAAGAGGACAGGAGGACAAGGACACAATCCTGATTCTCTACAGAGTTTCTGTAGCATTTTGGCAAGTTGTGCCATACCTCCATATAGCACAGTATATTTACATCATGGATGGGCTAAGATGGAAGGCTTAGGAATTTATCCTGTTACCTGGTGTGTCAGAATGACTCTAATCTAGGCATAGGGTCAAATCTGACACATTCAGAAAATGCCTTCCATTTTAACAAATGTCTTCAATTTCACCAAGTCAGTGCTTTGATTTAGAATACAAAGGTATACAATGCCTGGACTGTTATTTTTCACAGTCTCAAGGCAGCCTGTAGAACTGAGTTAGCACACTCTCTCTCTCTCTCTCTCTCTCTCTCTCTCTCTCTCTCTCTCTCTACACACACACACACACACACACACACACACACACACACTGTACACGAATAGAAAGGAGGAGATATTATAGACAGCCCTTTTGCTATGGTGATCATTCATCGTTTACACAAGAGCTTTTTATTTCCTTTAATAACATAATAGCTATTACTACAAGCACATATTTTTGCTAGTTGCTCTTACATATTATGTTACTAAAATCTTCAAAATGATCCTGAGTCAGATACTTCCTTAAAACTTGAGGAACTAAAGGTACAGATTAAATCCAAGCACAAGGTCATATAACTTTCTCTAGTCTTAGCAGCCCAGCTCTAGTTTTCCATAGACCTTTCCTGTGGTCTACCCTAACCCCTGAAGTCTAGCATCTCTCTCAATCACAGTTCAGCCAAGATGTGACAAGATTCCTTTCTTACAGCCAAGCGATTGGAGATGCCAAAGGAGCTGGACTCAGATGGTGAGGAGTGGACCCAATACCAATGTCTGTCCTTCCCACCTAGATGGACCCAGGGCTCAGCAACGATGAGAAGCCAAGGAGGTGCCCAGCCTCTGAAAAGGTCCCAGAGTGCCCGGGTTCCTATCCAGAGCCACTCCCGACAAAGGTCTGTGGGACGCTGGGAGACCGCACAGCCTCCAGTGGCCTTCAGCAGCTCAATAGTAAGTCCCTGCCTTTATTCATCAAATCACAACCAAATTATGCCAAGAAGAAAACAGAGACGATTCTAGGATATAGCAGAGCCTCTATAAACCCTGGTTAGCTGGGGGTTGTGGGTGTATCTTGGTTGAAAGAGTGCTTTCCTAGCATGTATGAGACCTGCATTCCATCCCAGAACCTCACAAGCCAAGTAGGATGCTAGGCACCTATAATCCCAGCACCTAATACATAGTGAGCCTGAGGACAGCCTGGGCTACATTAGACCCTGTAATTATTTTTTTAAAGATGTTTAAAGTGTGAGGAGCTCTCAAAATGCCCCCCTTGGTACCATGTGGAACCTGCGCAGTGTTCTGTGAGCATACACAATTCTTGTTAGTTGCAAAGGTTCAGCATTTGGAAATTGAGAGTTCTTATCTTAAATATTAGTTTCTCCTGTTTGAAAATAGAATTGGGAAATTCCCTGTATTAATCCAGGGTTTTCTAATGGTGATAATTGGCTTGAGTTAAGGATTCCTTACCAGGTAGGCTGCTACAGTTCCCAGAGCCCCACTCTTTTCCATTGGTCACTGCCATAGCTGAGAGCCAGCAGCCTCCTCATTATGCACGCTTTCCAATTACACAGCTAAAAGAAACAAGAAATATTTGCTATGTCCATACTTCTATGAACTAGGAAGAAGAAAGATAAACCTTTAAGGCTTTGTGCACTTGAAGAAAGGTGAAAGAAAATATTTTAGCAGTAATTAAAGAGGAATTTTAAAGAGCTGGGAAATGAAGACTATCTACATCCAAATTGCCAAGCTGCTTCCTCACCTTAGGTTTGTCCCATGGTTGCAATGTGAGAGTTCATGTTTGGTCTGCCTTTTGTCTTTTCATATTTGATTCCTTCAAATATGCTAAATATCCACTTAGCAAATGAAGACTCTGAATTCATCCCTCCAAATTGCACGGCAATTCCTTGAGGTCAAGGCAAAAGCCGGAGACTTCTGACTCCTGCTCTGTTCCTTCCTCTATATGTACTCAGAAACCCATCATCCAAAATTGTAGGAAATGCCACAGGATGGGTCCGTAAAGATAACTAAGCAGTTAAGAGTGCTTACTGTTCATCTAGAGGACCAGAGTTCTGTCCCCAACACATTCAACAAGCCACCTGCACCTCCAGATTCAGGGGATCTGACATCTCTGAGCACCTAACTTCTGTGGATACCTGCAGAGACATGTACATATAAATAAAAATAAAATAAATCTTTTCTCAAATTAAAGAAAGGAAATTCCATAGGGGGGCACAGCCATCTCTATGCAGAGGCAATAAATGGGTCTAAAAGTTCTATTATGCTATTAGAAAAATGAGATTTTTAAGTCAATTTCTATTGAAATTTTAATTTCTGCCACAACACTCCTCTGTGTTTGTTTGTTTGTGTGTGTGTGTGTGTGTGTGTGTGTGTGTGTGTGTGTGTGTGTAAAACACTTTTTGCAGTCATGGTGCATATCAATTGTACATGGCTGGGTTTTTTTCTTTTTAACATAACAAATTACCAAGACTATTTTCTGTGCTGTTATCTGGGTTTCTCTAACCATGACAAAGAAGTGATGCTCTAAGTGTGTGTTCTGGGTCACTACATCTCTAATTTAGGGGTGAGTGCAAAGCTGTGTTTCTGTTCTGGCATTGTCTCGATGCACAGTATGGGACATGAGCTAGGATAAGTCAAGAAAACTTGTTGAGGAGAAGAGCTCCTTACAAACATGCAGGAAAAAGGACCCATAGATGCCCATAGTAAGAAAATTATAGACTTTATTATTTCCTTTTTGTTTTATCCAAGAACAGAACAGTAGGAAGCATACATTATCATATCTTCTCCCTTCTTTAATTCTACACACTGAAAAGAATGCTCTTCTCCTAAAATGTTATATAAATATTTTTTCAGTTACTTAAAAGTCTCTTTGGACCTATTCTATGTCTTTTAGTATTTCACAGTTCTAGATATGACAGATATCTTGCTGCCTAATAATAAGTGCCCCTACTGCCAAGGACCCAAGGAGGGAAATTTAGAAACTTTTTGGCAGCATTGAAGTAGGCAACATGACGATTCCCTGCCCCTTGCTTAGCCTCACAAATCACAGGATCCAGAACCAGGCAGTATAGATTCCTTTTTATAAAGTTTCATCTTAACTTATTCTGTCCATGATCTCAAATTCCTGGATTCCAAAAAGCCCTTCTAGTGAGCATAAATTTGATGGCGGGCCCTCAACTGATGGCAGTGGGTGGGATATAGTAACGCCAAACTGTATCCAGGACCTTGACTATATGGTCAGTGTTCTGCACTGGCTAGCAGTTTCTAAAGCAAGTTTTAAGTTCATCACAGAGCAATAAAGAAAGTGGTAAATGAATTAAGACTCACTGCCTATGGCATGGATAGTAAAGACAGTGATGTGTTCTTTTTATGAACAACTAATAGTGCCACCAAATAGTCAAGAATCTGGAATTAGTAAACCACCATATTAACATAATTGTATCACCTGAAAATACATAAAATTCTTACCAGGATGTTCCCAAAATCAAATAACACAATGTTTTGCTCACCTCAAGATTCCTTCTAGTTATAAATCAAGCACACCTGGGTCTCCAGCCTCAGGTCTCCATCTCAGCCCCACTACAAATGAGTTTATGAGTTCACAATCAGCAAGTTGAATGAACTAGAGTCATATTCACCCCTTCATTAAAATAAGGACAATTCTGGTTCATCATATATAGTAGGAAGACATACTAGTATACATTTTAAGTGACCTGTATAAAGAAAAGCTGTTTTCTTATTAGATATCATGTATCAAAAAACATGTTTTTATAAAATAATGAACTTTCTACCTTGAGGGTCTAATACATCTTGTCTAGGAATGTGAACATTATAATTTTCACTTCTAGTGACTCTAGATGCAGGCAAGACTAAGAATCTCTCTGGATAGACTACTGACATCCCCTACTTTCCCACTAAAATCATGTGACTCAGACAAGCACCTGATGCCTTGGCTGAAGGGAATATTTGTATGTCTCAAAAGTTGCTCACTAGAGTTGGAGAGATGGTTCTATGGTTAAGGTCACTTACTTCCTACATACAGGACCCAGGTTCAGTTCCCAGCACCTATAGTCAGGTTCTAAAAGATCACCCTAGAGACCAGGAAGTTCTCTACCTCCATCCATTTGTTGAGGATGGAGACTTGCTTAACTTGGGAGTCTTTTCTGCCTGTCTTGGTGCCTCCCTCCACCTGCCTCTCCAGTATTTAGCCTGGCAGATGCATATCTAGGAACCACCCCCTTGTCTGTTTTCTCTTTGAAACTGAATCAGGACTTGCCTCAGAAACTCCCAAGATACCAGCACTTGGCAGCAGTGTACCAACTTCTCAAGAGGCCAGCTATTAGTTTACCTGTCCCTTGGGTTCAAACCAAAAATAAAACAAGAATCAATCGTAATAGCAACAACCAAAACTGGGTAGTTTGTTTTTTCTTTAGCTTCCAAATACAAGGCAGCATCAGTGATTATCTCCTAATTGCCTGCTGTAAAACTATGGTTTTAAGGTGGGTAATATACTTATGAAATTGGCACATCCCCAGCCAATGTTTAATAGCACTGACAGATGGAAAATAAAATGCCTTTTGCCCTGCTGTGAAAGCAGCCAAGATTTAAGCAGAATCTAAGAGACACCAGCACAATGTTTTCTGAAGTCATCAAACCAAGGAACACCTTCTCAGTCATGGGGTGGAGCTGCACTGGGCCCTTCCAGGCTCCTCCACCTCCAGAGAGAATGCAGGAGACACAACTGAAGGAGGCACCTAGGGAAGCTTCTTTCTTAATGATTCCTCGGTGAAACACTCAACTCTTCTGCAGATTGTCAGGGCAGCCAGCATATGCCTGCTGCCTCTGTGAGGTTAGATAAGAGAGCTGATTTCATCAGGCTGACACATACACTTTCTGCAAGCAATGTGACCACACAGGGCAGAATTGTCCTTAGCCCTCAGGAACCCAAATGGAAGGTCGAGAACTGTCAGAATTTCCTTCTTGGGCAGCCACAGCAAATTCTCCTTAGACTTGCATAGCTGGCTTTAACAACCTGCGTGAGCATTTGGGCTTTCCTGGTTCTTCATCCAAACTAAATATCATCAAGACTGAAACCCTGGGACAAATACATCACTGCCTTGAAGAAAATAATTCAGCTTTCAGTTCCCCAGCAACCAGAAAGTCCTGTTTGCATGCTATTAAAACCAACATATGGTTAGTTATTAAAAAGGGATCAAAGGCCACCTGGTGCTGTCCTCCATCTCTCCCCAAAGGCCTATGCAGCCTTTCTAGGGGAGACTGCCTATACCGAAGCCTCCATGTAAAACGCACATGCACACACACACACACACACACGATGATGCTTTGACCAGAGGACTTTTGGACTTTGAATGTTTTCTGTTGTCATGTGTGTGCATAGGTAGGTGTACATGTGTGGGCACATGTGTGTCCACATGACTGTGCATACATATGTTTCTCTGTGTGTATGCTCATACCTGTAGACAGAGTTTCTTTCTTGCCTGGTCCCATAGCTATTTAGCCTCAAACAAACACACAGAGACTTATAGCAATTATAAACTGTTTGACCAATGGCTTAGGCTTCTTACTGGCTAACTCTCTCTTAATTACTAACCCATAACTACTAATCTATGTATTTCTACATGGCATTATGTTACTGGAGAATGCTGGCATTCTGTCTTCCCATAGCTGCATGGCAGCTCTCTTTGGTGGCTCCTTTCTGTGTCCTCTCCCCAGAATCCTCCTAGTCTAGTAGCCCTGCCAATACTTCACGCCTGGCTACTAGACAATCAGTGTTTTGTTCATCAACCAATAAGAGAAACATGTATATAGAAGAACATTCCTCCATCACATGCCCATGTGAAGACCCAAGATCAGTTTCAGAAATCATCTTCTATCACTCCTTCACCTTACCAATTGTAGTAGGATCTGTCAATCAAACACAGGGCTTGCCCATATGATGACTCTAGCTAGGCAGCTTACTCTGGGGATTCCTTGTCTATCTTCCAAGGCTGAACTTAAAGGTGGCATGCCAAGACCACCCAGTATTTACATGAGTGCTAGAGAGCTCAACAGCAGTCTTTGTGCTTTTGAAGCAAACATTTTAACCACTGAGCCATTTCCTCAGCCCCAACTTTGGTAGTCAAAAAAAAAAAGTTTAATCCTGGAGACTGTTTCATATGTGCAGGCACACATGTATAAATCAGTAGAGAGCAGCCTCATTCTTTCTAGTGGCTGTTGGAAGTTGTTGAATAGTTGAGCCATCATGTGCTTATATACATGTGTGGCAGACTTTTCACAGTATTAATTTTTAGAGCATAATTGCTAAGCTGGAGTGTTGGTGCATTTCTTAGTCAATTGATTTTCCCAAGATGTTATGCCAGTTGACATGTCCTCCAACGGCAGACAGAAGGGCCTGCTTCCTCCCTGCTCTGTTGACTGTATCTGTGGTGACTGTCAGCATCTCTTTAGAATAGCCTTTCATTTATTTGGCCAGCTGATCTTTCAACATGAGTTAACATCTGTTCAGTGGTGGGGATATAAAAATCTTACAGGACGGTGGTCCCTGGATTTGGGGATTTACAGCCTAAAGAAGGAGCAAGTGGAACACCAGTGACTACTGCTAGGACAGTAGATACAGATGTGTTATAAGAGATCAGCAGAGGGTAGCACCATCCTCATTCCAGCTTCTTGGGAGCTTCCTGGTGAGGCTAGCACCTAAACAGGCCTTCAAGACAAGACTAAGAGACAACCAGGGATCTGATCTGTGATTTGGGTTTCACCCTGTCTTGCTAAGAGCAAGTGATCACATCAGCCTACATCTCTGGGCTTCAGTTAAGACTGGATTACATTCATCTCCACATAAACCTGTGACAGCCTAGTGTGGTCCCACAAAAGGCCTAGGCTTGGGAAGGTAGAAAGCACTTCATAAATGTGAGCTACTTTTAGAAGCACAATATTGAAATGCAGAAAAGACAATAGCCCATGTTTTAGGGTGACATATCAAAAGGAAAGCTTGAGAAAAAATGTGAAAATTGGGAAGTTACAGATCAACATCAACTCATAAAGTTAAAAAAAGGGGGGGAGAAAACAAGTCACTTATCATCTCTGCTTATCCCGACAAGTCAGGTTTTTTGGCAAAAGATTTTTGGAGCATTTTGCTAAGCAAAGCTGGCATCACTATTTAGTATGGCTTTCCAGATTAAAAACACCTTCCATCCCATAATGACCTCAGCTGTGCCTTGGCCTACTTCCCTCATTCTCCTTATGTGCTTGGTACCTGGTGGCAGTTCGAGGGTGGAACTTGCTTTTGTAGTTCAGAAGTGTTCATTGTGTGTTAGAAAAACTCTAATGTGCAGGTGACACTTCTGTGGTCACTAAGATCTAGGAGGGAGTCTAATGGATAGGAGATGACTCCCAATCTAACAGGTATAACCAGAGACATAGATGGAGAGACCTCTAGGGAAACAAAACTTGGAAATGCATGTGTGAAGGAATGTAGATGCATGAGGAGTTGGTGATGTTGACAGTGGCGATCTAGAGATCTTTTTGGAAGTCAAAGGTTGCAGGAAGAAAGTGGTGTCTTAGGAACATAGTAGATGTGCATGTGAAGAGTGAAAAGAAAATCAGAAATGCAGTAATACTGGTATAAAGTTAGTGCAAAAAAATACAAAATTGAGGGCTGAAGGATCCAAGCAAGAGGAGTAGGGAACAAATGTTGAGGAGATGCTAGATGGAAAGAAATGCCAGTGCCTGGCAGTTGGTGGTTCCACGAAGCTGATTCACAATGAGGAATAGAATAAGAAATGAACAGAAATCAGTCCAGGGGAAGCGAGTAGTGTGCTTCTGGAAACCAGCAGCAGGGAAGACAGAGTTATCCTTACCCTAGACGTGCAGGGAGCGACCTCCCTTCCAGTCCTTTCAGGAAAAGCTCTCACTCGGACATTTTTTTCTTCCAGGAAAAAGATGTGACTCCTGATAAAAACCTCCTGAGCAAGGTGAGGGATGCTGCCCTGTGGCTGGAGACCTCAGATACCAGACTGGCCAAGCCTTCCCATTCCACCACTGCCTCCATTGCTGACTTCTTCCTTGCCCTAACCATATGCAACTCTGTCATGGTGTCCACAACCACTGAGCCAAGAAAGAGGGTAAGGACCAGTGGTGGTTGGGGGTACGGTGGGAGGGAGAAAGAAAAGTATAAAGGCAAATAGGAAAGAGAAAAACCATGACCAGAAGACATGACCCTTCAGTGCTAACCAAAGTATCATCAGTCCATCACTGTGAAACCCAGATCAGGCATGTGTTCTTCCCAGGTCTGCTTCCCTCTTTATAAATTATATGGGAAAAGTTACACATTGTGTGTGTGTGAGAGAGAGAGAGAGAGAAAGAGAGAGAGAGAGAGAGAGAGAGAGAGAGAATGATGTGACTTTCAACCTTTGCCTATCCACCTGTGAAGCAGATAATTGGTAAATGTTTATTGAGTATTTGGCTGTGTGCCAGGTCCCATGCTAAACACTTTGCTTACATCTATCATCTAATCCTTACAACCCTGAAACATAATGTGGTATATTTTTGCACTTAACAAGTGGACTCTGAGGTCTTGATAACTAAGGAGGTGTGATTAATATGTGGTCTTGCCATGTATGTGGCTCTATTGTGGTTCCTAATAATATCATATTACAACTGCATCTGCTTTTATATGGTGGTTAATTAGCTTGTGTGTTGTGTTTTATCCTTAGAAGTAATGCAGATATGTGGCCATCTATATGAAGTTAAACAATGAAATCTGCTGAGGGTACAAGGGTCTTCAGTTATCCACAGACCTATCCAATCTCCCTACAAGTCACTGATAAGAATAATGACTTGGTGCAACTTGTGGCTATAAAACCAAGAAAACAGGATTCACTAGACTATAACTTACTCTCATTATGCCCAGATTTCAAACCACTCAGAAGCATCACCTCCTGATCAAGCATTTTCAGTGACACATAGGAGACAGGAAGCATTATCTGAACAAGTAACTATTTTTGAGAGGTGCTATTTTGGAAAAGCTAGCATCCAACTTCAGTTTTCACACTAATGAGAAGGCTTGCACAAGCACTCAGCTCCAAGCTAATGATTGGACCTAGACTCAGAACTGGGTCTCAGTTCAATTACCAAGACACTGGGCTATGATGGCAAATGTATTCACCATCTGGGTGCCTGCTTTCCACACCCATGCTGATGGTAGCCCATCGAGTTTCAGAGAAGACAAAATGTAATGATGGGCACAAGGAGAAAGCAGCTCACCATACAATAAACAGGGAGGATGTGTATTCTTGGGTGCCTCGTTTGAATCTCCTTTGTTTCTTTCCACCATGACCAGAGTAGGATGCTCAGAAAGTACAGGAATATGCACACTGGCCATACCTAGAATTCCAGTTCTAGAAGGAATCATCTGAGCTAACACCCTCTGTCTATGAGTGGGTAGGCTGAGGTTCATGGAACACATGGGTCTTATCTATGACCACAGAAGACCCAAATAAGCCACTGACTTCAGATGACATTCAGATTCTGTGTAAGACAAACTGGGTGCTTACAATAATGCTACACTTTTCTCAACCAACCACAGGTTACCACTCCACCCTCCAGCAAGGCTCTGGGGACATCCTTGGAGAAGATTCAACAGCTGTTCCAGAGGCTGAAGCTTTTGAGCCTCAGCCAATCATTCTCCTCCACCGCACCCTCTGACACAGATCTAGGAGAGAGTCTGGGGCCCAACATGGCCACCACAGACTCAGATGAGAAAGACGATGCATCTGTATGTAGCGGAGACTGTTCTACTGATGGCGGCTACAGGAGCAGCACATGGGAGCAGGGTGACGTCCTGGGGTCTGAATCAGGGGCTTCTCTGGAGGAGGGGCTGGAGGCCCCAGCTCTCAGCCTAGATGGACCTGAGCTTTGCTATGAGGCTGAGAGCCCCGATGAGGCAGCTCTTGTGCATGCTGCCCGTGCCTACAGTTTCACACTGGTGTCTAGGACACCGGAGCAGGTGACTGTGCGTCTACCCCAGGGCATCTGCCTCACATTTGACCTCCTATTCACACTGGGATTTGACTCTGTCCGGAAGAGAATGTCAGTAGTGGTGAGACACCCACTGACTGGTGAGATCATCGTCTACACCAAGGGTGCAGACTCAGTTATCATGGACCTGCTAGAAGATCCAGCCTGTGGTGAGTTCACCTTAAGAGGCCCAGGAACACAGGTGCTATAGTCCCAGCGGCAGTGTGGAGTGGTGATGAGAAACTGATGTTACAAGTCACTTACTCCAGCATGTCCTAACAGGATGCCAAGGCCATGAGATGCTCTCAAAACAAGGTCCTTAGAACACACTGAATTTTCCATCACCTTGACCTAGAGAATTGGGGTGTGCATTAGTACATTCAAGATGTTTCAAAGTCTTCTCTAGGAGAAACCATTTTTCCTTCACTTTTCCCAGGTTCCAGATTTCCACACTCATTATAATAGCCATTTTCCAGATCCACATCGTTTCTTTCTACCTAAACAGCCCTAGAGCACACCGTGGTCCCTCAAGTGCCCCTCTTTATTATCATTTTCCCCAGTGCCCCTCCACCCACACCAAGATAGATTTTCATAAGCTTGCATAGAGCCAGAAAAATGTTCCAAAGTTCCTATGTGTCAGTGTCCAATTTCGGAGAAGCCTGAATTCATGTGCAGCCGCATCCTGATTGCTAACAAGGAGAAGACAGTGATAGGGTTATGATTCTCCCAGGATAGTAGATCCCAGCCAAGCTTCAGAATTGCCCAGGCAGCCCAGAGCCTCCTGCATTATCAGCTGTGGATCACAGCCAAGAGGTTCATGGGGACTGATTAGTATTTAGAATGAGAAGGGAGCTAATTAGTTCCCTTCATCCCTAGACTCTGGCAGACAAGTGAATTCAGTGCTTCTGAGTGGAGAAAGCCATAGCACTCTGTCTCTGGGTAACACAGACATGCTACCCTGGAGACATTTGTTTACTCGTTCTTCACCTGATTGCAAAAAAAGAAATGGGTTGGAGACACTGCCAATAAAAAGCACAGTCAGTGTTACTGTGTTTTAAAAAAAGGCAAAACTTTGAAAGGGAGGGGAGAAATAGCATCAAGTTTAGTTTACTTGGGATGTTTGAGTATTCAGACGGACTCTGAGGTTCCTGGCAACCTGGTGGTGGGGAGGGAACCCATGGGCTCACAAGAGATGAGCTTCAAAAATGCTATTTTTAAGACAAAATAGTGTAAATAGTGTTCAGTTGGGCATTGCATACATGAAGACCATGCTTAGATATTTTGAACAATGAGAAAATATTTGAAAGGATGTTTGTATTGTATGAAATAGACTGACTGGCCTTCCTTATACTTAGTGAGATCACTATAAGGAATTACATTTTTACCTTTGCATTGTACAAAGGAATGGGTGAGGTGTTCAAATTCTATTCTCTACTAAGGATCTCTCTAGAACCCCTGACCAACACTGGTAAATAATTTCTGAAGGTTCCACTGCTCCGATTTACAGGGCACTAGGATAGATGAGTGATGCCTGCTACCGCTTAGATAAAGAAAGTGACACTATCAACGGTTCTGTCCCTCCTGAGCCAGCCCAGCCCTAAAATATTCTAACTGTCTAATAGAGAAAAAAACAAATGACTTCACAAAGAAATATGCTATGTGGAGCTTTGTCACGGGGATTTTGAACCAGATATTGAGGTATTTTTCACACTAAAGTTACAGAAAATGCAAAAGCTTTTTTTTTTTCTAACACCATCCCTCATACTGAGAGAAAACCTAAGTCAGCAAACCCAGTGTGCTGAAGAACTCTGCTAATGAGATCCAGGTTTGCAGCTGTCTTGAGACTGGGCTTGACAAGGACCAAAGTAAATGACAGAGATGATGATGGATTGTCTAAGTTTCCAGAGAACAGTTTGCAAAGTTGGTTGGCTCTTTAGGCAGGGCTGGCAACTGAAAACATACCTTGGGTAATAAGCAAGACTGAAATTCCTAGCCCCTGACCCTCCACCTGAGGATAGCTTTGTATTAACTCTCCAGGCAGTTCTCTTGTAAGTAGATGTATCTGTACAATTACTTCGATTACCTCCCTCCCTTAAGCAGCACTTTTCCCAGCCAGGCTTTTGAAGAAAAGCTATAAGGAGCAGACAGTGTGGGATCTCTTAAAATTATCATTTTCCAGGGCAGCCTGTCATCACAGCACCTCTTGCATGTACCAAGGGAGGGCTGGAAAGGCGACTCCTCCTTTAAAGCTGGTGGGGGTGGCCTGGGGAGATTCTGGGGAGTTGTGGGCAAAGCTCCTTGACCATTTGCCCATGGCTTCATGGGAAACAATAACTCTTTGACAGTGAATGATATTGATGTGGAAAAGAAGCTGAGAAGAATCCAAGCCCGGACCCAAAAGCATCTGGACTTGTACGCAAGAGATGGCCTTCGAACCCTGTGCATTGCTAAGAAGGTGAGGATAAATTACCGTCAACAATGGTTGAATGGCCTTCACCCCATCCTGGGTATGTGTGTGGGGGGGTGTGCATGTGAGTGTGAGTGTGCATGTGTGTGTGGGGGTGTGGGGGTGTGTGTAGGCCAGAGGTCAATATCAGTGTTTTCCTCAATCACTCTCTGCCTTGTTTTTGTTGTTGTTGTTGTTGAGACATAGTCTTTCACTGAACCTAAATGGCCAGAAAGTTCCAGAAATCTTCTTCCTGTCTCTGCCTTCCCAGTGCTGGGATTACAAGCAGGTCCTCATGCTTATGTGGCAAGCACTTTACTGACTGAGCCATCTCCCCTGTTGTTTCTGTTTTTTTTTCTTTACAGAAGATCACTGGTTTGTTTTGTTAATAGTTGCAAGATTATTCTTTGTTCTTAGCTATTGACTCTAGGACCATGCTAAGCCTCAAACGCTAGAGCATATCTCCATCCTTTGCTTGGTGTCAAGTGTTGGCATTCTTTTGTTTGTTTGTTTGTTTGTTTGTTTGTTTGTTTTTTGTTTTTCGAGACAGGGTTTCTCTATATTGTTTTGGAGACCATGCTGGAACTTGCTCTGTAGACCAGACTGGCCTTGAACTCACAGAGATCCGCCTGCCTCTTCCTCCCGAGTGCTGGGATTAAAGGTATATGCCACCAACGCCCGGCTAGATTTTTTTTCCGGTGTTAGCATTCTTAATAAGTCTTTGAAATGGGCTCTCACTGAGTTTCCCAGACAAGCCTTGAACTTGTGATGCCATGCCTCATCATCCTAAATCACTGGGGTTATGGTTCTGCATCACTCTTAGCTAAATTTAGGTATTCTGACTCATCACCAAAAATCTATGATTTTACTGAGGCATAAATCCAAGCATGAAAACTACATATCTGTGGCTTTAACTATTCTCTATTTTTATTGTATGTGTGAGAGGTAACAGACAACTCATAAAATTATTTATTTATGTTATTATATTTAATTATATTTATTTATTCTTTGAAATTTTACCACATGCACTCAGTATATCTTGATCATATCCACCCTTTTATAAATATAATTCTGTCTTCAGAGTAGCCTTTTCATTTTTGAATTAATTGTCTGAACTGAAATTTGAAAAGATTTTTTGGTGTGTGTGTGTGTGTGTGTGTGTGTGTGTGTGTGCATGCTTATCTCATATGAAAAAAAGATCTAACTTTCCGGTTTCTCTTGAGAATCTGAGTCTTCACTGAATGGCACCGATCAGTTTAACTATGAAGCAGCTGATCCCTGTGATGAGGGGCATGGTGGTATTCTCAGCTGTGTTCTGCTCTTGCCTACAATCCACATCACTAGTGATTGCTTTACCCTCGCCCCAGATATGGCCATACAGATCACCCACCTCTTGCTCTCAGATATTTGACTTTGCAGATCATACAAAACAGGGGGCTTTGAACTCCAGAGCAAGGTCATCTGATGAGGTGTGCGATATTTAGTAGGAATGCCACGATGCTCATGTATTTCAAGGTGTCCAGAAGTAGTTTCTCCTCTTCGCACTCCCTGGACTGCTCATATGCTTCATGTTGCTGAGAACAACATAGAGATTAAATGTACTCACTTTAAAACCAGACCTATCTAGGTGCCTATCTCACCACCTTTTCATGTGTCTTTAGGACAGCAACAAAGCTTATAATATTCTCTAGGTACTACAATTATGCCCTTACCACTGTCTGTTTCCCATAAGTCTGTGTCTTTTTGTCTCCTGTTATAGACTGTACATTTCTCAAATGCCAAAGACTTACCTGTGGTCAGGCTTGGTGGAGCACTCCTTTAATCCTAGCACCCAGGAGGCAGAGGCAGGTAGACCTCTGTGAATTCCAAGCCAGCCGAGGCTACATCATGAGATCCTGCCTCAAAGCAAACAAGACCTGCGTCCCTTGATTTTCTCTATAGAGCCATATAGAGGGACTTAATGAATATTTGGTGTGTGTATAAAAGAGTTATTCATGTATGAAGAGAATGCAGAAGTGTAAACGTGGTGGTTCAAGAGTGCTATGGGAGACAACCACGGCATCTCTGTACTTTTGACAGCAAGCCTGGTGGAGTGTTCTAGCGACTGTGGAAAACATGGTTACTGTTTTCCTGTCCAGCCTCATGTCTGACCCTTCTACTTTGCTTTCCACCTCCATCAGCTGATGCATTAATGGGCCAGGAATGGGGTCAAGTTCTTTGCTGTTTCATAGCCTTTGCACTTGTTCTTCCTCATAGCTCATAGGATTGGGTCCTTTTAAAATATTCTTATTTCTTGAGAATTTCATACAATGTATTTTGATCATATTCACACACCCCCAACTCATTGCCTTAACTTCTCTAGGAACTATTCTACTCCCACATTGTTATGTCTTCTATTTGTTATATAACAGCCATCTAACTACAGTCTATGCTGTCCACACTCTGTCCATGTCTACTGCCGCATGGACTCCTTGAGTCTTACCTTGCATGTGAACTGTCAAGACCTTACTATCCAATAGAGAGCAACAACCCCAACAGACTTTATAGTGTCCATCCTTTTTGTTATCTGCACATTACTCCTTGAAATGATCTATCCATTTAAATCACTTGCCTGACTAAAATATCTCACCTTCTACCGGCATTTAATCTGAGGCACCCTGAGACCTTGCTTTTGTTGTTGCTCTCCAGAGCCCTGGGCATCTTAGGGACTCAGCAGATGTTTGGTGGTCATGGAACACAAGGATTAATCTTCATCAATTTATGCAGTCACAACATCACTATGGAGAACTCTGCACCCAAGTCTGTTAAGTCAAACAAACATGTAGGAGGCCCGCACATCAGGAAGAAGGGAGGACTCCATTTGCTTATCCACTCAAGGTTACTAATAATCCTCTTCCTGTTGCACAGGTTGTAAATGAAGAGGACTTCCAGAGATGGGCCAGTTTCCGGCGTGAGGCTGAGGCATCTCTGGACAACCGAGAGGAGCTTCTGATGGAAACAGCCCAGCACCTGGAGAATCATCTCACCTTACTCGGTAGCTGGGAATAAGGCATCTTCCATTAACAAAAAGGAAAGGGGGATGCTACATGTTAGGAAAGGAGCTCTTGGCCAGGATTCTGATGCCACTACAATTTTGTCTCAATTAGGAGCCTTCCCTGGGTGTTTCCAGATATTTGCCATAATTGGGCTATGCCAGCAGCCAACCCAGCTTCCTGGGGATGTTCTGAGAGCATCCCTGGACCTACTGCTGGAAGAAGCCTATGAGTTTGACTTCTTCATCAACAACAAACTCCTTTGCCCATTCAAATGTCTGTTGTATGGCCACTATGTGTACCCGGTAGCATGCTAGGCTTTGCAGCTACAGCGAGAAATGCAAACTACAGCCTCCATCTTCCCACAGTTCAGAATCTAGCCAAATGGTTAAGCAGGTCATTTCATCACTCAGCAAGTGATAAGATCTAAAAGATGTAGAGGTGGAAGACAAATGCAAAATAGAATGATTCAGACCAAAGAGGGTCTGGGAAGGCCACTAATTGGGGACAAAATGATAAGCTGTTCAGAAAAGGGGGTGTTTCATAACAGAATGAAGGGACTACATGAAAGGCAGCAAGTGAGGTCTGCAGAGAGGTACAAATACAGAAATCTTCTTTAGCTGAACCAAAGAATGAAAAGGAGAATTGACAGGAGGTGAAAGAGGCCAGAGGAACCCAATTTACAATGTGCCATGTAAATCATATGCTTAAAATTTACGGGGTACTTTAGTAAAATCACCAGGGCTACTGCTATATAGAGGGTAGACTGAGAAGCCAGCAGCAAGATGAGAAGCACTAAGGCTGGTTAAGGGACGGGCTGGATGCATTTAGGACGAATAGCATTGCAAGGTGAAAAGCAGAAGCTTGGCTTAGGAAGACGAATCTTCCCCTGCCTGGGAAAAGATGCCCATGTCTTTAATCACACTGAGGCCTCTAGGATAGAAGAGCAACAGCAGGAAAGGGTTTTGGCATAGGGGATCTTTCCCAAGCCCATCCAGAAAGACACATGAGAAGGAATCAGGGGTGTACACTGGACAGTGAGCCGAAATCCAACTTTCACTACTGTAAGATGCTGAGGTCTTTACATTTAAAGGGTCGCAGCAAGATTAGTTGAAGAGCCTTCAAACAGAATAAGTGCTTGCTCTCTAGCATCTTCAGCCTCTTGTCCTTTGTTTTGGCTGCAGAGGCCTGTGTGTGTTGCCTCATGAGCCCTGACACTTCTAAAGCTGGACACAGGTTCTTGTTTTCACAAGAACCAGAAGGTGGCTAGTCCAGAATATTCCACCTGCCGTACAAAGCCACAGCCAGTCACCGCATCTGGGGTTCCCACCACTCTCTCACATCCTTGGACACATCTTTAGCTTCAGGGTAGCAACAAGTCTCAGATGCGGAAAATGCTCACCAGCTGGATCTGGCAAGGAACTCACTTGTCGGAGCCAGTTAGCTTCCCTGTCTGGGAGAGGCATCCACAGCCTTCCTGTTTCATCTTCCCTTTCACACAAATAAGTGTATTTTCCCTTCTCCCTCCTTCATGCAGCCTCTCTTCCGAAGTTCACCTTGCAGGTTAAACCTCACAGAGAAAGATGATATTTAAGCCATCACCGTCCATAGAGTTCTTGGCCTTGGTATTTGTACCTGAAATACAAAACAGGCACACTTCAAGGTGACTGGGAAATGTGACTGGGTGGCAGATTTCCTGTGACCACCAAAAATGCAACATGGCCTTCATCCTAAGTACCCTAAGTCTCAAAACATGAGTTGAGTTTTCAATATACAGCCAACTTTTAACTACTCTCAATTGTTCAGAGAAACAAAGCCTTTGCTTCTACTCTAAGTGAAATGGTTAACCCTTACTCCATGGCCTAAAAGGAATCTCATTTCAAATGCAGGTTGAGTTTTGCTTAAGCAGGTAGCAATATCTGAGTATGGATTCATCAGGGTTGAGGCAAAACTTGAGATCAGCCACAAATGATGGCACCTACATATCTAATTCTCTCCAAGAAGAGTACTAAAAACACTGAGTCCCTATTAAATCTGCTGTGACCAGCTGCAGAGTGAAGGTTCCTGACTCATCTCCCATTGCCACCACCAGGTCTCATCTGCACTCCTGCTCAACCCCTAAGAGCCTCTCATCAAGTCCCTCTGGAGCACCTCCATTCCACTCCCTAGAATGATCGGAAACTACAAACCTGATCCTGTCCCTCCCTCCCCAACTTACACCCTTTAATAGTTTTCTTTGTTGTGAGATAAATTGTTTATCTATTAAGGCCCTGGTATGACCCAAAAGCCCTCCCTCTCATACTCCCTTCTGCCTCCTGTCTAGTCTTCTGCTCTAAACTCTAGGCTGTCAAACATGCATATCCCTCTACCTTCATCTCTGGGATTGATCTTCCAGGACTGAATCGACATGGTCTTCCAGCAGCAAAATTTCCCTTGACTTTCAAGGTGAAGTTCAGTGTTCACTCACATAGCACTCTGTCCTTACCATGTAGCTCAATTACAAATCTTCATCCAATGACTTGAGTTTTGGATAGGTACCAGTTGTCCTAATTAGGGTTACTATTGCTGTGGTGAAACACCATGGCCAAAAGCAAGTTGGGAAGGAAAAGGTTTATTTGGTTCACACTTCTACATCACTGTTCATCACTGAAGGAAGTCAGGACAGTAACTCAAAGAAGGCAGGAACCTGGAGGCAGGAGCTTATGCAGAGACCATGGAGGGGAGCTGCTTACTGGCTTGTTTTCCATGGTTTGCTCAACCTTCTTTCATATAGAACCCAGGGCCATTTGTCCAGAGGCAGCCCCACCTAAAATGAGCAGGGCTGGGCCCTTCCACATTGATCACTAATTAATAAAATGTAAAAAAAAATGAAAACATGTCATACAGGCCTACCTATAATCTAATCTCACAAAAGCCCTTTCTCAATTAGGGTTCCCATCTCTCAAATGACTTTAGACTATGTCAAGTTAACATAAAACTAGCCAGCACACAGATCATCTTATCTGGTGTGTGGCTGTATCCTGGGTGTTCAGACTAACATTTAGAAGACATTTGGTAAACACTGCTTGGCTGTGTAGTGCTTTGTGGAGGTAAGAAGCCACACATTTGCTGTAACTGAGCTTCCATGCCTTTGGACTTTTCCAGGAGCAACTGGGATTGAGGATCGACTCCAAGAAGGAGTTCCAGACACCATCGCTGCACTTCGGGAGGCTGGGATCCAGCTTTGGGTTTTGACAGGGGATAAGCAGGAGACAGCAGTTAATATTGCATATTCCTGCAGACTGCTGGATCAGACTGACACCGTGTACTCCATCAACACAGAGAACCAGGTGAGGCCAAAGAGGGATTGAATGTTGATAAATGCAGCAGTCCCTCAGCCAACTCTCTGGATCTTGGACCTCAGGTGATCCAAGGAAGTATCTAGAAGACATTGATCTCAGTACCCAACAATCCATCCACATACTTAGTTAACTGCTCATTTGGATGCTGCTACTGATCAGAAACATTGATTTAGAGATAATGATATGCAAAAAAAGTTTTAATTCTTTCTTTTGATGTACTGTAATAAAGACTTTGTAAGTAAATTAAAAAAAAGAAACTTTGAGTCTCCCTACTTTACAGGTAAGAACATTTAAAGCCACCAGGGCTCAGTGTCTTGCCCAACAACTTCACCTGCTGATCTATGAAAACACCAAATCTAGAATCCTGCTCTCTTGCAAGGCTAGTAGAGTCACATATTCCACACCATTTACTCAGTTGTCAGTGTCTTTCCTGTTAAGATTAGCCCACCTGTTAAATGATTCAGAGTTTAAATTTTCAACACCAGTTTTTATGTCATAGAGCAGATCCCTAAGGGAATAATATGTTCAGCTGGCATGTTTTGATGGGATGGGAGAAAGGGAGACAGGAACAAAGTCCTAAAACAATAGTGTCCACCCTATGTAGGTTGTGATTTGCAAAGGGTGAGGACTGGAAGAGCGCCCTGTGAAATCTAACAGGTTCTTCCTCCCTATTGTACAAGTTTGTATTAGGAAGGCGGCTTCCCTTTTCCAGTGCAAATGCAGAAAGTGAGGTGAGGAGTTTGGAGCATGAGTACTGAGATGTCACCCCTGTCAGAGGGAGTAGGAATGAAGTCAATGAAGAGAAGGAGATCACTGTACCCAAGGGGTTGTAGGGAAAGGAACCTGGCAACCTAGGATAGCCCATAGGGAAGAGTGAGTGGGAAGCCACCAGAGGGAGACAGGATTGAGGCCTCTCACCAGCTGAACTAGATCCCAGAATAAAAGTTTGGGAAGATTTGCTGGGTGTTGGTGGTACACACCTTTAATCCCAGCACTTGAGAGGCAGAGGCAGGCAGATCTCTGTGAGTTTGAGGCCAGCCTGGTCTACAAAGCAAGTGCCAGGATAGGCTCCAAAGCTACACAGAGAAACTCTGTCTCATAAAAACAAAAAAAAAGTTTGGGAAGATTTATATTTGGTTTTTATGCCATGAATAAAGATGCATTTATGTACATGTATATATGCATATACGTGTATATATGCATATGTGTATATGTGCATATATATGTATATATATCCATACCTGTCTACATCCCATGACCCACTAATCCTATAAGATTAGTCTTCCTCAGCCTTTTTCCTGGGAGTAAGTAGTAGACACATAAATATGTTAAAGCAGGAAATGGGAATATATACTCTAAATCAGATTTATTTAAGCCCTAGTTTAAGGTAATTACCTATTCAGTGAATATTTTCTCCAAGGGTTTTAACTTACTTAGATAACTATAAACACATTTAAGTCTATTATCTTTTTTATATGTTAAAAAAGGGCAATTAAAGCAATAAAGTAGTTTTATTGGGTCTGTCAAGACCTCTGGGTTTTCATATATATAATAAGGGACTTACTATTCCGTGACTAGAAACACATTTCAAAAGAAACTAATAATAACAATCATTGTTGCTGTTACTATTGACAACCCCTTTAGAACTTCATGTGCTTCAAATAGCATCCTTCATATCTTTCTCCCTCTTATCTGTAAAGCATGGGTTAAAACTACTTATTTTACAGATTGCTGGATGGATTCAATAAGATCAGAGGGGAAGTACCTACTTAGTCCCTACATTTGTCAGCTATTGCTGTATGACAAGCTACCCACAGAGCTTAGAAGTCAAAGCATATCTTTATGATCTCATGGTCTATGAGGTAGAAACCTTGGGGTTTCTTAGCTGAGGCTTGAGGATGAAGGTCTCAGGGAGGTTACAGACCACATTTCCAGGGCTCTGCGGTCAGTTGTTGATTCAACTGAGAAAGGTGTCCAGGGAGGAAGGAACTCTGCTTGCAAACTGAACCCCCACAGCTGTTACTAGATCCTAGTTCACAGTCTGTCTTAGATAAATGCTCTCTAGTTAAACCTTACATCCAGAACCACTTTCTGTAGCCCCTCCAGGATCTGGAATGTCCTACTATGGACGACAAGTAATTTAACATCTCCTAGAGGAGAACTTGGGGAAATGACCTGTACCTGCTCCAGGAATCACTCCAGTGATTGCTAGACAGGAAATCACTAGACAGAGTTTCTACAAATCTGTCACTTCAGGAGCATCTTTAGAAATCTACCCAAATCTATTACCTCAGCTATTTCTCTTAATGATTTAATTTAAATTAACTCATTTGAGTAGTATCTAGCTTTAGAATTCATTTTTGGCGTTTTGACTAATAAAGAAGCATCATCTCTTACCATGGGTAAAAGAACCTGATGGAGCTCAGTGGATGGCTCAAGGAATAAAGTACTTCTGGTACAAGCATAGGCTCAGAGTTCAGATCTATATCACCCACATGTCAAGTGGGCATGGTGCCTACTTCTAATCCCAGCACTTAGAAGGCTGAGACAGGGAATGCCCAGGGCAAGTTGGCTCAATAGATCAGTCAAATGGATAAGGTCTAGGTTTAGCAAGAAACCCTGCCTCGGTGAAGTGGAACACAATCAAGGCAGGCATCCAACTTTCATCTCTGGCCTCCACATGCACAAAACACATACACATTCTCATGCACACTCATGTAACACACCTACCCATTCACCAACACATAGTCAAACTTCCATACACAAATGCATGCATGTCCCACTTGCAAATGGAAATCACGGTCCATCTGAGTATAACACGCTTTGAAGTTATTTACATTTTTATCTTCTGTTTTCTCAAGCTTCACTAAAAAGTGATGTTTATAAGAACTGAAGAGATATCAGAAGGATCATTAGTGCCAAGATATGATTTTATCACTCAATGATGTAATTCAAAGTGCTAGAAAAGGATTGCTAATTAGAAATTACTCTCTGTGTTTCAAAGTAAGCATCATTTAAAAAACCATAAAACTAGCATGATAGTGGTACATCTTTAATCACAGTACTTTAAAAAGGAAGCGGTAGGATCACAAGTTCTAGGCCAACCTGGGCTGTATCAAAAGCCCATCTCAAAGAAACAGAAATAAAATGTACAGAGAATATACTTTGAACCAGTAAGAACTTCACATCCATGGTCAGTTGAGACCAACATGAAAAACACTTCATAGCACAGTTCTAAAGACCTCTGTGGAATAGACCAATAGAGAAACACGGGTGGTTTACTTTTTTAAGTTAGGAAGTCACGTTTGAAGAAGTCAAAATCATTTGTGCCTCACTACTATGTTAAGTTGACACTGAGTAAGTTACTAAGTTACTCATCATTTCATTTTCCTCATCTCTACATGTTGACCAGGAGCACCTAAAAAATGTCAAAAGGGACAACAGGGAACAGGAGAGGTTCATAAGAGATTGAAACCAGCATATATAGCAGTATGAAAAATTGTCAGTATCTAGCAACATATAAGTGTTGATTTTGAATTTACACCCACCTCAACTCAGTTGCCATCTTACTGTGCAACTTTTACTTTATTCCTAATCACCTTCTTCTATTCTGGCCATTAATTTGTTTCAAAATTAGTATAGTTTAATGCAGCTTTGCATACTTCAGAGAAATGTACAATAAACTTGGAAAAAAATTCCTAAACAACCTGTACAGTGGAGTATTATAATTATCTTACTAAAAAATATAGGTAAAACCTTAACATACAAGGTTGCTTACTAATAGTATATTGTATGACTTTCTGCAGGAAACCTGTGAGTCCATCCTCAACTGTGCCTTGGAAGATGTAAAGAGCTTTCATGAACCACAAGAGACAGCCCGAAAACTCTGTGGGTGCCGCATTCCATCTAAGATGCCATCTGCTATGGCTCCTAAAGTTGGACTGGTCATTGATGGGAAGACATTGAATGCAATTTTCCAGGGAAATCTGGAAAATAAGTTCCTGGAGTTGACCCAGTACTGTCGGTCTGTCCTATGTTGCCGCTCCACCCCACTCCAGAAGAGTATGATTGTCAAACTCGTGCGAGACAAGTTGAGCGTCATGACTCTTTCCATAGGTACCCATCATACTGGGATGTGGGTGGCATCTTGACAGGGATGATGATCTGGGTCATCTATGAAAGTCAACATGCTTAGGGTGAGGGTCTAAAACAGGGGCTTCCAGATTCAAGAAATGATCAAAGCACTTAGAACTGGCCAGTTAGCTACATAAAACAACAGATCTTATATGGAGATCACTGCCAACAAGGAACTTGAACTCAAAACATGAATGTAATTTTAAAATAATGTTTCCACCAGAAATAGAAAACCAAGACAGCACCACTAGGAGATACCATCCTACTGAAATTAACTACCCTCCCAGAATTAACTTACCTATTGCACTTACCTATGGTAGCTATGAATTTGCTATTCTTCTGAGGACAGGGGAATGGTAGGGAGATTTTAAAACCTTAGATGAGCTCACTTATAATTTTGTATGCTAGTCCAAGGTCAGCACAAAGCATATTCTTAATCTGTTCTGGTTGGTTGATGATAAATTGCTCAGAAGGGCATGAACTAATCAGGTCAAAGCACAGAAATAAAAACTTCTCGCTGAGTGCCTCCTAGACACAACAAGCCTGTTACAAGAATTTTTATGATCTGGTCTCTTATCATGACCACCTTTCATTCCTCATCACTGGGATCTTCATGTTCCCTCCAAACTAAATTACCTGCCATTCTCCTCACCACCTACCTACCTTGCCCTTTTCTGGAATTCCCATTTCCCATTCAGGTCCAAAATCTATTGTCCTTTCTGTGACCACCTTTGCAATAGTTCACAAATTCCTGGATTTACAGGGATTGGGTATGTTTCATTCACTATTTTATCTCATGATCGGTACATTCCAAACATGTAGTAAATACAGTCATCCCCCCCCCTCATTCCTCAACCCACATACACAGCATGCAGGTCTCACTTTCTGTCATTTTTGTTGTCTTTGGGTCTAAGAGTAGGTAACTATAGAAATAAACATTTGTGAGTGTATTGTTATTATGGTATATTATTTTAATTTACCATAATATTGTATGTTAGTTATTGTTAACCTTTTATTGGGCATAATTTGTGAATAAAATTTATTATCACTACATGTGTAAACAAAAAATAGTCTATAGAATCTAGCACTCTCCATGGTTTCAGACACACACTAACAGGCCTGGGAGGTTGTCCTCACAGGCAAGGGTAACTAAATTACTCCACTTTGGGTCATTTCTGCAGATGGTTCTAGCCTCTCTTCTTTCTCTGGTGTTCTGGAGATCTGGCAAATATTATGTCATTCCCTCAGTCCTAATGTGCAATATAAAAACTGAATTTAAAAAACTAGAGGACCAAGCACAGTGGCACATGCCTATAATCCCAGCACTTAGGAGGAGAGGCAGAAGGACACAAAATTCAAGGTCACCTACAGAGAGCTCTAGGCCAGCCTGAGATATATAAGATTATACCTCGCAAATGAAAGGAACAGATCCATAGCAACTACATCCCACTTCAGCACTGTGATTTGGCCTCTTCTATAATTCAAATACACAATAGGCAATAGTCCAGCACATTCTCGGGGGTTAGAGATTGGTCTAACAGAAACAACCCAACTGGCTGAGAAATAGCATGATTCCACACCTCTGCTTCTCCTAGTGTGCCAACAGAAGGAGTTAAAGCTTAGATTTATTGTGCCTTCGAAAGGATTAAAATTGTGAACTGTTATGCTATTGAAAAAAGAATCATTATTATAATAACAAAGTCTACCTATAAAACCAAATACTAGATGTTTAATAGACACATAATTATATAAATTTACGTGGTACAGTATTAATGATAACATTTTAAAGCTCAATATACTTATTGCCAAATAATTAGGGAAAATATTTTCTCTCCTCTCCAATTCCATAGTTTCTTTGATGAATAATGTAAACTTAATTACGGCTTATATATGAGAAACTTTTAGAAAAGAAAAAAGTGGGACCGGGAAGAGAATACAGCCAACATGGACTACAATAGGAATTACCAAAACATAGCCCACAGACTGTGTCCAGCCTACTACATATTTTTGTGTGAAAGCTAATAATGACTTTTATATTTTTAAATGTAAAGTTTATAACTACCAGCATTTCAGCCAACAATGATTTGACTTTGCTTTGTGGCTTACAAAGTCTAAAGTATTTATTGGATCTGGATCCTTTAGAGTTTAGTTTGCTGAGCTCTGGCTTAAAAGATAAAGCATTGAGGAGACCTGAGCTCTGTAAGAGCCCTTGCTATAGAGAGTTGTATGTGGCTTCTTAATTAAATAGAATTTCACCAGCCACATTTAAATACATGTAAAATGGTAGCAGTTCTGTACTGGACATTGTAGATAGTTTTACTTCATCAGAGAACAGTATATACCCAATCAGTGAGTGGACCTACCAGCTGGGGACCAAGTCTTGAACACAGAAGCCTTTTAGGGAACATGTCATATCAAAGCCCTAACAGCCCCAGACTCAGAACAGAAAGGCTCAAATTTCCATACATATGAGAGCCTTCACCAGATGACTGCCCGGACCAAGTCTCAAAATGAGTCAGAGTCTTGATTTGCTCTTTAGCAAAATCTATTTTGACATTTGCAAAGGCCTTTTCTGTGAATTGTAAAGGACCACTCATGACTCTCTTGATTGCCATTCGGGGGTGGACAATAAAAATATTCATTGAAAGATTTAAAATAAATTGGAGTTTCTAATTCAAATTTTTAAAAGGCAACTTTCAGGTCAAATACTGTAATGGTGATATCCTATTTAGAGAAAAGTAGAAAGAATTCAACTGTGCCAACAGGGACACTCAGATTTCTCACCACTGAGTGGTTGGACAAGGAATAAAGCCAACTCTGTGACCTCGCTCTTTTCAGGTGATGGAGCAAATGACGTGAGCATGATTCAAGCTGCTGACATTGGCATTGGAATATCTGGGCAGGAAGGCATGCAGGTAATGTGCACTTTAATTCCATTTTCTCTGCCGCTCTCCTTTATCCTTCCTGAAATTTGAGGAACATCCTACAGTACAGAAGAAACCTTCCTTTCAGCATCATAGAATTATTAACTGGCAGCCAGGGGTGTCACCCATGCTTCTATGTCCTCTATCATCAAAACTCCTACCATCTAGTCCTCCAAAAACAGAGGAAGACTGAGGGATACGTGGCTTTTTACAAAAGGCATTGATTGCTATAGCCTAGAACTGCACAGCATTTAAGCCTGTCTCTGACTCCACATATCCTTCTTGTATCCTCCATAATGAGTGACATAATAGGGACATTGGAAAATATTTTATGGCTCCACAAATTAATTGGTACTATTTCATGGTGTACCTAATTCTCTACAACTTCAATTTGGAACAAGCATACTTAACTGAAATACTGTTCTTTTCAACTAAAACAGATCCTGCCTCGTGATTTTGAACCATCAGGGAAGATACTGCTTAAATGTGTAGCTGAGAATTAGAAAGGCAGCCATAGTTCTGTTCTCCTTAAGGTGTTTACCATATGCCAATAATCTTAGGTAGTTCGTATCTATGTCTTACCACATGGAATTTTAATAATAACCAGTATTTATCCCTAGTGTATGAATGGACTTCTGGAGCACATTCCCCATGGAGGAATACTCTCTTAGCCTAGATACACGGGGGAGGTCCTAGGCCCTGCCCCAAATGACTTGACAGACTTTGATGATCCCTCATGGAAAGCCTCACCCTCCCTGGGGAGTGAATGGGGGATGGGATGGGGGGCAGTGGGGGGTATGGGAGGATGGGAGAGGGAACTAGGACTGATAATGTAAAATAAGATTGTTTCTAATTTAAATAAAATTTATAAAAAATAATAATTACATATTACAGATTGTAGATAATTTTTTCAGATAGTAAAACTGAGGCTCAAGGACTTAAAGTAATCTTCAAAGTATTTATACCAAGATTTCTAACCAACACATCTAAACCTCATTTTCTTAAGAGACTTCTAGACTGGATCTTGTTATAAATAACCCCAAGGACAAAAATGTCCAGCTTAGGACCATGTAAATAAACTTCCCAACCAACAGTATCATCTGTAAATTATGCAAATAGTCTGTTTGAGAGGTACCCAAGGGTGCTCAGGGACTTATGAATCACCTGGTAAAAAATCAGTTCTCTGGTTCAACCAGATACTGTCAATGGGCATTAATGAATGTTTGTTGGATAAATAGAAACAATGGGCCAAGTGGAGTGCTGTAACCCCTCCCTTGCCCTTCTTGGATTCTTGTAATATTTCAGCTTCCAAGAAGAAATGGAGGGATGTTAGAAGCCGAAGAGTCATGAAGAGTTACTACACAACAAGGGATCATTCAGGTCCTGAATGCTGCAGACCCACAAAACACTGTCCTCAAACGAGCATCTTTGGGGACAGTGACAGTTATTGGTGAAAACTGATATCCCATTCTTCCCTCCCAGGCTGTCATGTCCAGTGACTTTGCCATTGCCCGATTCAGCCACCTCAAGAAGCTGCTGCTTGTGCATGGCCACTGGTGTTACTCTCGTCTGGCCAGGATGGTAGTGTACTACTTCTACAAGAACGTGGTGAGTGTCCCCAGTGTAATCTCCCACTTGGGCCTTATAGTCCTTACAAGAACTCTTTCTCTCCTCAGAATAGTGGAGCAAGCATTTCCACACAAAGGAGTTAGTCCACTGACCTAGATTTGGGATCTTGCTACCTGTGTAACTTTGGGCAACACTGTTCATTTCTTCATAGTTTCCTCTATAATTTTAAAACAGGAAGGGGGTTGCTATTTCTTGCTGTGATATTGTCATGAGAATTGCCTATGCTATGTAGAAAGCACCTAGCACATAGGGACAGCATGAATGCTATTGAATGTGGATCCTGGAGTCAGATTAAGTCCTAAGCCAGATTCCCATATTTGGTAATTGTCTCCAAACGTATCTCCCTCTATCTACAAAATGCAAGTGATAATAGTTCCTTTCTCTCACGTGCTCTGTGCTGGTGAGCTCTTCATCAATGTGGCAGAATACCTAGGATAATCAACTTTAATGAGGAAAGGTTTGTTTGGGCTCATTCTTCTAAAGGTTTCAGTCTATGGTTAATTGGTTCACTTATTATGGGTCTGTGGCCTGTGATAATAGTGCTGTGTATCCTAAATAAAAGGTGGGTTCTCTCCTGATAAGCCCTCAAAGCGAGCATACACTAGCAGAGCAATTAAAGCTACCAAAGGGTCTCGTTTTAAAAGTCCAAGAATAACAGTGAGTATAGCAGTGAGATATCAAAGCATAGCTGGGCTAAGAGATGGAACAAGGGACTGAGTTTCCATCACCTAATTTGAGGATCTTTTATCCAAATAGAATTTGATTCCTTTTTTGCATAAGGAAAAATGAACAGTTAACACCAGGGTGATGGAAGACAACCATAGCAGCCTACAAAATTATATAATTTTTCTATTACTCCATTGTTTTGGTCATTCTTGTTCAGGAATGAACTTCTCTGTCCAAAGTTCACTGCATAGACACATTAAAAAACAACAGCACCACAAAAATAGTATAAATTCAACCAACATGATGGAGATACTGTCTCAGCGCCATCTATGCAAGCAAGTCACTCTGACGGACTTGAAATTCACTCTGAACATGAAAGACACTTTACTTAGAATTCAAAATACCCTGTTTCATTTTTTTCTTTTGCATCCAAGGAATCATTCTTTTGAATCAGCACAGTCTCTTTTCTCTGCATTAAATTTATGAAACAGAAAGGAAACGATTCCAGCCAGCCACACTCTCAAAGCTCAAGTGATATTTATTTCTAGCCTGTTGCCAAGCTCAAAACTGCAATACTGATGCAGTATTATCTCCCAACTGCAATTAGAGGGTGGGGAACTATGACTTCCACATCCGAAACCAATTCCAGAGGGATTAAAACCCTGCCTGCTCTGAAATTTGAACAATGAATTAATTACTGTACTGGAGCATCTTAGGGAGGAGGAGCAGGCACCCAATCTGAGCCACATTGTCACGGGTTTCAGTATGCTCCCTGAGAGCTGCAAAGACTGTAGCTAGAAAAGGGGAAGTGGAAACCAGCCTTTGGGGGAAGGGGATACTGTGTGATGTTAAATTTTCAAGATGAGTTGTCAGGACAAAACAAAAATATACATCTATTCACATAACTACTGAATGCCTGCTATGTGCTATGTAATGTGCTAGCCACTGGGCATAGCATGGGGACTGAATCAGGGAAGATATTTTTTTGCCCTCAGGAGATGTTTTGTCCATATTGGGACAACAAGCTTCTTCCAGTAAAGGCTAGGCAACACATACTTTCTGCATTGTTAATCTTACTATGAAACCCAAAGACAGGACCAGAAAAGGCCCAGAGTAACTAAAGAGAAAGAACTTTGGAACTGTAGGTGCTTCTTGCTAGTTCTCAATGAGAGTAAGTGAAGCTAAGTGTCTTGGAGCTTTTACTATTGTAAAATCTATAGTATTGACACGTATTAATAACATTCAATTAGTGATACCTCACAAATGGTTAAGACTAATAGTAAGGGATACTGCACATCTAATATTCTAAATGCTAATCCACTGATGTGCTATAAATGTGTATCTAACATGTAATATATGCAAGAGTTAAAGAACAGATTGTACTTAGTGTTAGAGCTATGATAGTATTACTGTATTATTAATAATGATAATAAATAGCCTCTTCAAAATGACAAGAACCCTGTCAGATATGGTGGCAATTAATTCCAGTACTCATGTGGCTGATGGAGGATTGAGAGCTCAAAGCTATATCAAAACCATATCTCAAAAAAAATTAACCCATAAATTAGTGAGAATGCTAGTCTGGTACAAATCTGCTGAGTGTTTTCTTGTAAGACCCCTCCCAACCCCCCTCTATGTCTCAGGTGTGAAACTTCTGACTTCTCTGAGGCTAGGCCCATACATCAAGTCATTTACAATTACAATGACAATGGGAACCCAGCACACTCCTGGTAGGAAGATCTTGGACAGAAACAAGTTGTCAGAAGTAAAGCCTGGTGTAGTGGCCCATGCATTTAGTCCCAGCACTTGAGAAGCCAAGGCAGACAGACTTTTGAGGCCAGCCTGGTCTACATAGTGTATTTCAGGTAATTTTAGGTAAATTTAAATGTTTAAGACTTTTTAAAAATATTCTTAGTGTTATTTGTGACTCTTTCCTTCTGAAGTTCATTCTGCATTGACTTCCCTCCTACTTCCGAATTAACCCTCTCATATCACTTGGATTAGCTAGTTCCCTCTCAAGCACGCTTTCCCCCTTGTCCTTTTTTCTTCATGGCTTCCTGCCGTTACTCTGGTCATACATCCCCATCTGAAGATTTGAAGCTAAGAACCACAGGTGAGAGAATGCGTGACATTTGTCTTTATTTCTGTCAAATTTAAAAGAGCTAGGTACAACACTCTTGGTTGCCAGCCATTTACTCTCAGGGAGTAAGACATATCATTCCATAATTTCCTGGTTTTGAGGGTTTCAGGTTAGAGATCTGATGGTACTCAGGTGTTTCCGCCTCTGGGAGTTGACATTTTTCTCTTAAAGCAGTTTTTCTTAAGATGCTATTAGGAAATTTTAGTTTTTAATTATGAGCGGGTGAGTATGGGACTTCTGCATGAGTGTAGTGCCTGCAGAGATCATAAAGATATCAGATCCCGTGGAGCTGGAGTAACAGCCAGTTATGAGCTCAGAACTAAACTCAGTTCACACATCTTACCAATAGTGGTACACACACTTTACTACTGAGCTCTCCCTCCTTACCACTTCTAATATTGTCTTATCACTTTGGATTGTTAACATGTTTACTATAATATGTCATATTCCTCTGGTCATAAGTTATTTGGGATTCTAAACTCATATATCCTTCTCTAGATTTGGAGATTCTTCTGCTATAATTTTCATTGACTAGATTAGCTATGTCTTTAGTTTATTTCAGTTCCTATTTCTGTGTTCTTAAGTTTTGTATTTTGATACTATCCCCACAGTTCAATGGAGGGGAGGGAGAGGGAGCTGGGAATGACATGTGAAGCAGGCTTGTTTCTAATTTAACATTTAGAAAAGGAAAAAAAGAAAGTTGTGGTCACACTCGGTTGCTTTTCCCTTTATTGATATCTGAATGCAGGGTTTCATCATACTTGCCCTCCATCCCTGACAGTTCTTCACTCTGCTCAGTTGAGTCATGGGGCGTTGAAATCTACCAGGTTTTCTATTAGGTTCATTGCGTTTTCACTTCCGATGTATTTCCTTTTTCCTTCAAATCTTAATTTTCTTGATGAGTCTTCCTTCTCTGGAGTTCCAGTTGAATTTAGCTGCCTGTTTTTGTATGCTCTTTCAAAGTTTTTGAAACCTTCTTCCAACTCTTTATGGATTTGAGTGTCTTTGAATTCCATAGTTGAGGAATTGTGTTATTATGGAAGAGTCATGCTGTGTTGGTGTTTGTTGAATTTCTGTCTAGCAATTTGAGTATGTATCTTTCCACTTGGGTTGGATAACCTTCATATTGAGCTCTAAGTACTACTCAGCCAGAAGTAAACTAGGATAGCAGCAACAGCGTCTCACCATGCAGGATCTAGAAATATACTTAAATCAGTTACAACTCTGGGAGTGGGAGTGTCTCTGACTCCTTGCCCTACTCTTGGGACCCTTTTCCTCCTACTGGGTTGCCTTGTCCAGACTTGATATGAGGATTTTGCGCCTAGTCTTATTGTAACTTGTTAGGCCATTAGGCCATGTTCAATGGACATCCTTGGGAAGCCTGTTTTTTTTTTTAAGGGAGATGAAAGCGAGTGCAGAGATAGAGGGGGGACAGGAAACTGTGGTAAGGATGTAACCTATGAGAGAGGAATAAAAGAAAAAAATCAGTTGCAGCCCATTAGTGACCACAGGTTTGAAAATGAAAAATTGCAGTAGCATAAGCCATGGAGTTAAAAATTATTCAAGGTTAGCATGAAAATAGTAATGGATATGATAAAGGAAGGAGATAAGAGAAAGGAGAAGCCCATAAGAGAAAGGAGAAGCCCAGTTAATTTGATGGAAAAGGGAGGAGTGGGAAGGAACATTGTAAATAGGAAAAGAGCAAGCATTGTGAACCAAAATAAAAAAAAATTTGAAGAGTTCTCCCATTAGTGAAAAAGTTAAAAATTAGCTCAGTGTAAGGAGAATGAAAAGAAATTTAAAACCTTTACCTTTTAAAGACCAATAAGGTAAAGTCGAAATACTACTCAATATAGAAGAAGGAGAAGGAAGGAAACAAGGGGGGGACAGAATGGAAAAAAAGAAAAAAGGCACAAATAAAATTATATGGCTTTAAATTAATACAATACAGTAAGAAAACTATGATAAATATGTAAAAAGCAAAAGGGATGAGTATTGGGTAGCTCCTTCCTGGCCCCTCAAACTGGGAACTGGAGTGTGTGTGGGAGGAGGCCAGATGAACTGTGACCTCTCATCCATCCCATGGTTTATGTGGTTTCTGAATCTATGTTGGACAAATATTTGATGTCCCCAGAGAGTTCTCCTTTCTTCACATCAGAGACCCTGCTGGTCACAATGCCATATGAGGAGGCTGTTTTAGTTAGGGAAGGGATGGGTCTCCCAAATTTATTGAGAAGCAATCAGAGAACAGAGGGCCCGCTTTAGTATTTTTGGAGCTTCAAAGTTTGGGACTCTACAAATCAGGTGGCTTCAGAATTTGATGTAGCCCCTGGCATTGGGCTCAGCACTCATCACCCCTAAGGATAACTCTGGGTAGATGAGACTTTCCCTCTCTTCATATACTTGCCAGCCCCCAGCTCAGCATATGAGCCTTCTTTCACCTAAGCCCTGTGGCAAGCCAAATTGAAGCTCCATGATCTGTGGGTGTTCCCTAAACTCAGGACCCCAAGGACAGCTCTCAGTCTTCAGCACTAAATTCACTCTCAATATGACATTTAGCAGCTGCTCTCCTAGTTACAGTGTGGCAAAATGAGGTTTGTCTCCATAGCTGACCTATCTGCAGCTGTCTCACCAAAATCTGGGTTTGACTCTCATGAATGCTGTGGGCTTGTCAGCTTTCATCTGACTTCTGAGTGTCCCTCCTCTCTCCACCAGGCACTGTGTCACCTGCTTCCCCTGTAGGACACATCCTTGTTCTTTTCACATCCTTTATGGTTTTCCTAAACTTTTTTTCTATTTCTCTTTATGCTAGGATTGCATTTTTTAATTATTTTAATTTTAAATAGCTTGTTTTACATGTCAATCCCAGTTCCCTCTCCCTCCCCTCCTCCTGCACCCCCTAGCCCCCCCCCAGCCTCCCACTCTACTGCCATTCCTTAGGATTGCATTTCTTTATTCTTCCTTTCGCTGTCCCCTTTACTGACTCACTAAGAAGCAACCTGTCATCTGCCATCTTACCTGGTCCACAGCTCATCTTTCTGTCATCCCATCCCCACTTTCTATTTCCACTGGGATACTATTTGTGTGTTATGTGCCATGATAGATAACAAATGACGTTCAGAAAGACGATGTAGCCTGGCCAAAATCACAGAGCTAGTAACTGATACACCTGGGGATGTAAATCAGGCCTCTCTACTTCCCAAACCTGTGCTCTTAGCCGTCATAGTCCAGCATACTTCATGCAGGGACCTCACTCACGAAGGATGCTCCCTGCCTGCAGTGCTACGTCAACCTTCTGTTCTGGTACCAGTTCTTCTGTGGTTTCTCCGGCTCCACCATGATTGACTATTGGCAGATGATATTCTTCAATCTTTTCTTCACCTCCTTGCCTCCCATCGTCTTTGGAATCCTCGATAAAGATGTCTCCGCAGAAACACTCCTGGCATTGCCTGAGCTATACAAGAGTGGCCAGAACTCTGAGGTGAGGCTTGCAGCAGGCATGAAGGGAACTTCAGATTCTCCCTAAGCTCTGACAGTTCCCTGCAGGTCAGAGAGAGAGAGAGAGAGGAAAGAGTGTATCAGGCTGGGAGTCCAGAACTCTACTGTCTAGCCACAGTTCTGTCACTTACCTCCAGTGTGGCTTTGAGTGATTCTGGCTGGCCTGTTGCACACTTGCTGCTAAGAATGTTAGATAAGAACAGTAAGTATATTTTAATAACACCTTAATTATATCACATGTTGACTGCCGTGGCTGAAGCAGGGAGTAGATATGGTAAGATTCCATCCCTCCAGGCTGTGAAGTGCAGCAATTAAACTCCTGAGACCCAGTTAAAAGAGCATTTTCCATTTCTCCACAAACAAAACACCAAGGGCTGGGTAATGCCACAAAATATTTTATTTAGCTCATAGCTTTGATGCTACAAGTCTGAGATCATGTAGCTCTGTCTGCTCAGCCTTCTAGGCAAGGTCCTCCTCAGGGCCATCACAACATGGAAGTGCATCATGATGCCAATACACATGGGAAGGGAAGATCAAGTGGGTGTTGACAGAAAGCTTGGGAGATTCGTAGGTCAAGATCCCTCTAACAACCCATTCTCATGGGAACTAACTCCCTCTGAAACCAGCATTAATCCCGTTCAGAAAAGCACCCTTCTTCAGGGACTTCACCACCGCTCTGTAAACATCATCACACTGAGGACCAAGCTTCCAACATAGGAGCCCTTGGGGACACACTGAAATCATTTCCAAACTACAGCACCTGGTTTGAGGGATCCCAATGACTAACAACTGGTTTTCTCGTCATTGGTAAGGCACTCGGTGAATGCTTCTCTTTCACTGTAAGGAAGGCTGAATTAGACCTCCACATTACATAGAGTCTAGTACAATCTCAAGTAAACTTAAGAAAGCTTAGGAAGTCATCATGTGGGTTTCTATAAAGTCCATACTGGAGCTCTGAATGGCCTGAAGAAATAATCCAAGTGGTGGGACTAGCCAAGGCACAGACAAGGAGGCTAGACAAAGAGATGAGAGCAACATTGACTGCTTCCAATGGAGTTGTAAGGGAAAAGCTTTAAAACACCTGAGAGGACAGTATGTACCTTGGTACCTTGAATGAACAAAGGGCAAAACCATAGATGGTGTTCTAAAGAGCCATTTTCTCCCCTGTGGACAGCCAAAGAACCTAATCAAACCAAGCTCTAACCAAAGACAGAGGAGAAAGCAATGCAGTGGCCCAGGAAGTCAGGATAACTAAGAGGGAACCTCGGGCTCTTCTAGTTTTACTCTCTCCACCAGAATATGCAACATAGTCCCTGAGTATCTGCCATTTAAAGAAAAAACATAATAAATCATGTTTCCTTTTTCTCAAGAAAGGGAGAAGAGCAAAGTATAAGATGAGAACTCTTATCTCTAAAGCAGTGGATCTTTGACTCTTGGAAGCATTGATCCTGGTCTATGAGTGAGCTCTCCACCTCGGATGGCATTTAGTGACTTCAGAACAGCGGTCCTAGTGACAGAGCTAATGAGTGGCATTGACAGCACTTCCTAGATACCAAGGCACAGTTGCATTTAGTTCCCTTAAACTCCAAATTTTCTGGGAAAAGAGAGCAGTTCTCAGAAGAGGTTCATAATTTCCACAAAATAACATGTTTGAGTGGCAGAGTTAAGACTCCATTCTTTTGGAGCTAAGATGACAGGTATGCATAATATCACATTGTTAAGCTCAGCCACACACAAGTAAGACCAGAGGCTTGTCAGGATACTGAGTAATTAGTGTGTTCTTCCCTGCAGTGCTACAATCTGCCAGTGTTCTGGATTTCCATGGCTGATGCGTTCTATCAGAGTCTCATCTGTTTCTTTATCCCTTACCTGGTAAGTCATATAGTTCCATCCTAGACATATAAGTCACAGTGTGAAATGGGTCTTAGTTATACAAAACCACAGACTAATAGTGCTTTTTTTACATGCATCATGGCAGTGACTCCAAATTAGTAGCTGAGTACACTGAAGGTGTTTGAGAAGACAGAACACTTTCTGCAAAACTTCATTTCTGGTACTCTTGAAAAATCAAAAGTGGTCATTACACTGGGTTATTTCCCCTCATGGGAAAGCAATGCAGAGTTGGTTCATGGCCCACTTAGACAGGGATTATATTGCCAGACTTCCCCTGCTTTTGCATCTTTACAACAGAGGCCCCTTCTCTGTGTATGTCATGTGTGCATGTTATATGTTGTATACTATCACCATTAAATTACATCATACCTGCAAGTCTTCTGAAGTGCTACAAAGGATTTGGCCCAGCCTTCCGGGGAGGTGGGGGCGTCTTTGGGCAGGACTTCTTATTTTCTATAGTTCTTGCCCTAGAGCTGAGAGCATTTGTTTCAGTTAGGGTTTCTATTGCTATGATAAAATATCATAACCAAACTTAACTTGGAGAGAAAATGGTTTTTTCACCTTATGGTTTTACATCACAGTTCATCACTGAGGTAACTCAGCTAAGAATACAAGTCAGAAACCTGAAAGCAGGTACCAAAACGCAAGCCACGGAGAAATTCTGCTCACTGACTTGTTCCTCATTGCTTGCTTGCTTACTTATTTATTTGTAATTTTTATTGTTTTTCTAGATAGGGTTTCTCTATGTAGCCCTGGTTATCTTGGAATTCACTCTGTAAATCAGGCTAGAGTTGAACCTAGAGACCCATCTGCCTCTGCCTCCTTATTATGGGATTAAAGTTATGTGCTACCGCCACCACCTGGCAACCTCCTTTCTTATAGCAACCAGGACCACCTGCCCAGGAGTAGCACCCTCCCACATCAATCATTAGTCAAGACAATGCCCCACAGACTTGCCCACAGGACAATCTTCTGAAGGCATCTTCTCAAGTAAGAGTCTCTCTTCCCAGATGTCTAAGTCCATGTCAAGTTGACAAAACCCAATCATCACACTGCCTGCTCCTAGTCTTGACCTCTGCCTGGACTACAGTTTCCTCTTATCATAATCTGGTCTCAACTGATAAAACCTCTTCTGTGCTCCCAGGGTGTCTAAGAGAGTGGGTGCTATAAGGTCTGAAGTATATCACCATCTAACCTGCCTAGTAGACCACAAGCTCCTTCAATGTAGGCACACATACCCTCAGTCACCATTGCAGTGCCTGGGAATGTTTGAGAAAGCCTTTGTCCACCCATTCCACAGTGGTTTTCCAGCCTTCACTAGAGCAAACATGTTCCTAAGAAATTTAATCCCATCCACTCATTTCTCATCTTGTCAGTTCCTTGAACCAACCCCTTCTCCTCTCCTTTCTTTTCACCATATTCCTGCCCCCTCCTTGACGCCTGGCTTAATTGTATTAAATACATAGCCTTAAATCCGTGCATGCCCAGGTATGCCCACTTGACAGTGCCTGTTTGTCCTTACTCCTTAGACCTACAGAGGTTCAGATATAGATGTCTTTACCTTTGGAACACCAATCAACACCATCTCCCTCACCACCATCCTCTTGCACCAGGCAATGGAAATGAAGACATGGGTAAGGATCCCAGAGACCATTTAGCTTAAAATTTGTACTCTTGCTCATTGGCTGAACTCAAATTTCTGAATTCTCTTACTCTATACAGTAAGTTCATGAGTCTCTCACTGTGTCCCTATAAAGCAGTGGGATTGGCAAAGATGCTAGCATTGCTTGCATTCAGACATGATGATGACAACACTAATGCCAGTAAAGCAATGAGACAGTTTCATCAGATTTATACTGATGAAAAATTCAGGAGCACTGCAGAGACAGGAAAGGCTAGCCTGAGTACAGCTGAAGCTGTGTATACAGGGCTATGACCCATTTAACTTAGTTACCACATATCAAGCATTCCCAAATATTGTATTTTGGGATCTTACATCATAAAAGGCAGGCTGAGGAGGTGGCTTAATCAATATGGTGAGGACTTGAGTTTGATTCCCAACACCCACAAAAAACTCAGATATGGTGGTGTGTATCAGTGCCAGGAACATGGGGATAGGAAGACCCCTGGAGATAGTTGGTTAGCCAATCGGCTGAATGTACCAACCCAGTGTTCAGTGAGAGACCCTGTCCCCCAAAATAAGGTGGAGTTTGAGGAAAATAGATACCAAAATCAGCCTCTAGCCACCTCCACACACACCCACACATGTACAGAGAAAGAACAAGCTCTCTCACTGAGTTTCACTAATAACTCTAAAGAGCACAAAATTATATGCCAAGTATTAATCTATATGATTTATACACATTACCTCATTTAACTTCACTATGTCCTTGGTGTTAGATTTTTTAATTATCCCATTTTACAGATTTAGAAACAAATGTAACAAGATTAAGAAACCTGCCCCAAGCAGCTCAAACTAGGAGTGAGTATTGAGCCCTATCATTCTGATCCTTGTGCTTTTAACCATTTTGCTAACACCACAAAGACATAAGATTTAGTGTTACATGGAGATCACAATACAGAAATTCTGGTCTTCCCAAAGTCGTGTTAAAATGACTGTTTCTGAAAGAAAGCACATGAACTAAAACTTTGAAAATGAAAATACCTCCAAGTAGGCTCAACTCATGCCTTCATTCTACAGTGAAACTTTCCCCTTCATCCCCTTCTGCCATCACAAGTTTAGTAAGAGGCCAATAAGAGGCACCAAGGGGACCTCTGTGTCAGAGAGGTCTCATCTTGTTCTCTAACGTGTGCCAGTGACAACAGAACAATAAGCCTGGCTATGCCTCTTTTGTCCTAACTTCAATACCAGAAAAGGCTATGACACAAGGGCGAGGAGGTCAGGCACAGCATGCAGGACACAGATATGCCAGTGGGGAGTCTGGCTTCTGTATAGTAGCAGAGTCTAGAGCTCCATTTATTGTTGGTCCAGTTGTCTCTACTCTACAAAGAAAAATATGGTATTTAAAAGCTCTTAGGGTACAGTTATATCAAAAACAGTGAGTGAGGGATGTAAGAGTCCAAGACATAACTTTAAACTGAGGCCAGTACTGAAAACTTTTATTATTATTATTATTTCATTCTATGTTCCAACCAAAGTTCATTCTGGCACCTGGGAAACTTTTAGAACTCACCCAAATGAAAATTTTTCATTGAAATTAAAAGTACAATCTGTGTAATTCATTCTAGATCAGACAGTGCAGGAAGGACGGAAAGGAGGGAGGGAGGGAAGGAGGGAGGGAGGCTTCCAAATTGAGAGGTAGAATTAGAAACTCATCTAGAATGACACACAAGTAGATAACTGTCATTTATTGCACACCTCTGGAAGGAGGAGAGAGAAAGGTATCTTTTTCTTTAGTGTCTCTTATGAGGATAGAAAATGCATTCATGGGGGACTCCTAAAATATGCTCCCCAAAGCCCTATTTTCAAATACTATCAATTGAGAGTTTCAACATATAGATTATAAACATCCAATCCATAAGAAAAGGGGATGCATATAATGATAAAGTAAGAATGCATTCATAAACGTGGGTGTATAACATGTACAGAACTTGCCTAAAAATAGCTAGGAAGGCCATTTACAAGCAATATATGGTTACTTTAATTATATCTATAAGGTTTAGTGTGCTTGAATATTCTCAAATAAATTCTACTGTCTAAGATGCGCTTAACCATTACATTTTTTTAATCAGAACTTTAAAAGCTGAGTTGCTTTTCACAAGACAGCTAAGTAGAACAATATGGATGTTTGATCCATTAAGCTGCCTGTTTTATGAGTGCTTGATACGTATGTGTCTCTTCAAAAAGGTTTACAGCAAAGGTTAATTATGCTATGTGTATTTTGCTGCCCCATAATCTAACCATAACTTCCAACAGCATCTTCTTTGTCCCCTCCACAGACTGTCCTCCATGGCCTGGTCCTCCTTGGCAGCTTCTTGATGTACTTCGTGGTTTCCCTAGTCTACAATGCCACTTGTGTCACCTGCAACAGTCCCACCAATCCCTACTGGGTGATGGAAAGGCAGCTCTCAGATCCCACATTCTACCTCATCTGCCTCCTCACACCAGTCGTGGCTCTTCTGCCAAGGTATGAGCTCTTGAGCAATGGCCTATAAAATTCCCAGTTTCTCCTAAGTCCCCATGGTCCAAGGGTGTTAGTTACACTTCTCACCGCTGTGAGGAGATGTATGGAAAAATCAACTTAAGGAAGGAGGGGTTTGTTTTTATATATTTTTTAAATTTAAATTAGAAACAAGGTTGATTCACATGTCAATTCTAGGTCCCTCTCCCTCCCCTCCTCCCACGCCCTCCCACCGACCCCCCCAATATCCCCTCATTTCCCCAGGGAGAGTGAGGCCCTCCATGGGGATGTCCATAGTCTGTCATTTCGTCCAGGGCAGGGCCTAGACCATCCCCCAAGAGTCCAGGGTGAGAGTGCTTCTCTCATTGTGGGATGGGAGCCCAAAGTCCATTTGTATACCCAGGATAAATACTGATCTACTACCCAAGGCTCAATAGATTACCTAGGCCTCCTCACTGACACCCACATTCAGGGAGTCTTGATCAGTCTCATGCTGGATTCCCAGGCATCAGTCTGGGATTCAGGAGCTAATCCTTGTCAGGTCAGCTATTTCTGGGGGTTAAACCAGCCCAGTCTTAATCCCTTTGGTCATCAGTCCTCCCTCTCTGTCACTGATTTCTTGAGTTCAGCTCATTGCTTAGCCGTGGGAGGCTGCCTCTGCTTCCATCAGCCACTGAATGAAGTTTCTGTTTCCCAGACTCTCCGGCCATGGGATTGTAGGCTGGCACTCCCCAGGTCTATGTCTAAAATCCATATAAGAGGGAGTACATGCCATCTTTCTCTTTTTGTGACTGGGTTACCTCACTCAGGATGGTTTCTTTAGTGCCATCCATTTGCCTGCAAATTTCAGGATTCCATTTTTTTTCCTGCTGAATAGTACTCCATTGTGTAAATGTACCACATTTTTTGGTTGAGGGGCATCTAGGTTGTTTCCAAGTTCTGGCTATTACAAATAATGCTGCTATGAACATAGTGGAACAGACATCCTTGTATGAATGTGCATCTTTTGGATGGATGCCTAAGAGTGGAGTTGCTGGGTCTTGTGGTAGGTTTATTCCCATTTTTCTGAGGAATCTCCATACTGATTTCCAAAGTGGCTGTACAAATTGGCACTCCCACCAGCAGTGGAGGAGTGTTGGAGGGGTTTGTTTTGACTCATGGTTTTAAGTCTATCATGAACAGAAAATAGAAAGATGTGAATGCTGGTACCCAGCTCATGCCTCCTCTGCTAAACATTCCTAGAAGCACCCACCCACACAGATACACCCAGAGGTGTGTTTTCATAAATCAGTCAAGTTGACCAAAGTCTTGAGATTGTTGTCCAGACATGAGATGCTGGGATAAAAGAACAATAAGACATGGGATAAATAACATAGACTCAGGTCCCAGGTTAGCTATAGAGAAGCAAAATGACCCCATTGAGATATATGTAATATGGGAGTAATCATTCGACCTCTCTGGCTTATAAATTCTGATGTGTGATAGGAGGACATGCTTTTATAACTCAGTAATCCTTTTCTATCAGTCAGGGAGTCTCATACCTCAGTGGCTATAGGAGAGGGAGCAGTCCCAGCAAGCCACACCAAACGCACGCATGGGGACAAAGAACTTCCTATCATTACAGGAAAAAACTGTGAAGCAGAACTTCAGATTTCTCTCCAACATTTTAAGTTGTTCATAAAAATAGCCAACATTTTAATATCACTTAAGTTTAAATCCATGTGTAACATTTTTAAAAGGCTCTGTTACCCAGATAAATCACTCATGATCACATTCTATTTATTTTCTGATACTTCTGACCTAAAAGCCACTGCTTTCACATTTTCAAGGAAAAGACCAGAAAAAAATAGTGCTTCTCTGTGAAGTTCCTTATTGATACACATTGTGTAGCCTCAAAGCTCCATTTTTCTATTAGCCAAATATTAGGCAGAGCTAAGGATCTAGTCTATGAAACAGGTGAAGGGCTAAATACCCAGATGTGTTCACATTACCAGTATAAACTACAGTGGGGGCAAGATTCTCCTGACTGAAAAGCCAGTGTTTCCACTTTCTGACCCCACACTCCAGTTAGAAAAGTGAGTAAAGTTGACAATAATGTCTTTGTAGGCAAAATGTAGGTTTTCTCCTTCCTCGGGACCTCATCATTTTGCACATCAGAATTGAGCCAGTTGTCATTACAGGCTAGTAAATGGACAATGACAACACTGTGTAGACCTGTTTATGCCCTACAGTAGGCAGGAGAGTCATAAGCAACCTTGCTTCATCTGCCTGTGTCATCTTCCTAAGGCATCTCAGAACCTTGACTTCTGATACAGAATTGGAATCTGAAAACGCTTGAGTAATACAGAGGTTAGCAAATGTCATAGACTTGAATTGAGCTCTGAATATTTACTGTGTGCAGGACATCCCACCTTGCCTCCTACAGCTCTACAACCTCATCTCCACAGTCTGCTTCCAATTCAAATTTGAAGATAAATACTGCATTATGGCCCCATATTCTTTCATTTCTATGATGCTGTGTCTATTTGAAATGTTCTTTCCTCTACCAAGGCCCTTTACACTTTGACCTCATGACAGCATGACCATTTTCAGAAGTTCTGTCATGTCCTACCTTCCTTAGAACATAGCAAATCTCTGATGTTCCCACTACCTGTGTGTATATCTGTTGCTGCCAGTTTCTCCCATCATTCAAATTATGTTCTCATCTTCTGAGGTAGAGTCCAGGGAGAAGAACTTTTTGGTTTTATTCAGCTATCACATAGTCATTCCTGTCACATAATCTATGCTCTGAGACGAAGGAGCAATGGATACTGGACAATAAGAAAGATAGATAGGACAGACTCTAGCTTCTCACAAGTCATCATCCAGCAGAGACATTGCACATAAGTCTATCATACAGGTGAAAGTGGCTGATCCATACAGGATCCTCAGAGTATAGAGTAAGCAAAAATTAAGACTAGTTCTGAGCCTTAAAAATACAATACCTACCCACCCCTTCTTCAATGCAACCTTGGGGATAAAAACCCTGAGAAGGATGGGAGGAGCCTGCCTTTGTTTGAAAGTTCCTCAAGAAATGTCAGTGATTTGTTGTTTGGCTGTGTGTGTGTGCGTGTGTGTCAGAGCACATGTGCTACATGTGTGCAGGTGATTGTGAGGCCAGAAGAAGATGTCAGATACCTGAAACTGGAGTTAGAGATGTATTGATAGCCACCTGATATGGGTACTAGGCACTAAACTGAGGTCCTCTAGAAAAGCATAGAGAACTCCATACTTTTAACCACTTAGCTGCCTCTCCAGCCCCATAGTTGGTTTTTTGTTTGGTTTGTTTTGCTTTGTTTTGTCCCCTGATTTTGAAGTTAAGCAATTGTGGTCATCATGGCCGGAGTGAACTTCTCTATTCGACATATTATTTGGAGACTAGAAAGAAATTCATAAGCCCAGTGATTTTTGTTAGAAAAATGCTCGGAGCCAGTGTCTTACAAGGCTACAGCAGCTCACCAAAGTCCCTTGAAATATATTCAAGGACTGTTAACACATGTGGAATGAACAGATGGGCATCAGCTTGATGAATAGATGAGGGATGAATTGAGGAAATGTTGGCAGTAGTGACCATGGTAAACCGACAAAATCTTTGCTTATGCAATATTATCACCACAAAGTTTAATTCCCATTTAATTCTCTTTACTAAGGTCAAACGGACTTCTTCTGATAATGGAGGGATTATTTTAATAGTTGTAAGGACTCCTGACTTACAACCTTGGCATAATTCTTGTTTGTTTATAGAAATCCACATGATAGAATGTTTACTGTAGAAAACTGTTCCTGGCTTCAAGTTGAAAGTCGCATTTCTCATAATGGGCATTGATCTTACCCACCAATCTTGTAATAAGTAGACCACTAATCTTAGTCTAGTTAATTCACCGAGTACAAAAGGACAGTACAAATTCCCTTCAACTAGAAGTATAGATGTACAAAAACTATTTTTACAGATTTAAAAACAGATTATCATATCAAGCTTAAATCCTAGGGCATCCTCTTAATCCCTTTAATTAGTAATAGCAAATGGTAACAGCTTTGGACCCTCTGCCTTGACTTTTATGACTTATGCATTCTTGGATTCTCTTCCCACTTCTCTTTCTTTCCTTTGTGGCACACACCCTAGGTAGAGTGATTGCCAAGCCTTCATCCCAGGTTCACTGGTCTCCTAACTTTATATTTTCTCCACAGACCCAGAAATCATTGTTCTGAATTGAAAGAACTTTCTTAGCAGATGCTTCCCAACACAGGTCTCTCCTTGACTCCCACTGAATTTCTCTAGCTTAGTCATCAACTGCACTAGGCATATTTAGTCTAAGAAAAGCAGAGAGCACCTAACTTTACTCAAGGTTCACCCCCAAAATTACAGTCTCTTCACAGTTCCCTTCAGCTAATGCCAGGACCCCGATCACCCCCTGCCCATTATCCTTGCCATTACCTGTGGCTGCATATTCAGAGTTTTCACAGCAATAAGTTAACACCCCTACCTGTGGTGTATTTCTCAGATACATACACAATATCCATTTCTACAGCTGCCATCATAAACAGGCTACTCCTCTGACACCCCAAATTGAATAATTTGTCTCCAGTTAGGACTTTTCTCACTATCCATTGTTAATGTATCAAAGTCTAATCTAGCCATCCATTTGTCAGTGACCAAAAACTTCCCTGGGTCTTCATAATAAAATAGGAAATCTAAACCATGACCCACAGTCTGTGTCTGCTCTAGTCCTTCCGTCCCCATCTTGAATCTTTCCCTCACTTTCATACCTTAACTAGTTTGCCTGAGTTTTATTTCTCATCCCTGTGTCTAACTATGGAAAACCTGAGTCTTCAGACTAAGTGCTTCTTGAAGGATGGTCTTCGGATGAGACCAAGTATTTAACCTTCTCTCCATCAGTAAATGAGCTCTTGTGCAACCAGAGAGTAGGTGTTCTCTCTTGTTCAAAGCTTAATCCTGTAGGACCTGTCTGTTGTGGGGACTTATTACATATTTGTTGAATGGAGGATGGAGGAGAAAGTCAGTGTCCTGGGTAAGAGATTTGGACTAAGGACATTTCAGTTTCCAGATAAGAAGTCCAATTTTTCCTGAAGCATATACATGGCTCCCTATTTACTCACTAGTGGATAAAAATAAGAGAAATTTATCTATACTGGTGGAATCTACTACAATCTTCAGAAAACCCTTGGTCCCTGTGGGTTCACCATGTAACTTTCAAATACAACAAAAAATAAGACTCTCTGCTTACGAGGCTTTTAAAATTAACATTGTAAATGTCCTCCAGGCCAGATGGATTGTTTTTTAGATAACACTCAGAAAATGGAATGAGGGTGGCCTATGATATAAGATAACATATACTTAACCTACTCACCCTTCCACTTGCCTAAATTTGGATCCAGAAGATGAACTTAGAGTATCCCATAGACTACATGCAGCTTGGCAGGAAAATAGCGAGTCCGTATGACCTCATAAGATCCCAGACCTTTTCAGAAGACCTTAGAGAAGTATCACCTCACCGCCCAGTGTAAGGGTTTTGCACTGAATGGGTATCCTGGTGATAGGAGGGCCAATGCTGCAAAAATCACACCACACAACAGACTTCACCTGGGGATGTCATTTTCCTCACTGAGCAAATAGTAATTATATAAAGTTCCACAAAAAATACTAATGGATAGTAAATAAAAGATTAGCTTATATACCTAGAGCATGTGGGTTTGACCATAGTTTGACACTGGATTAATTTTCATATCTGTACACAAAAGGAAAGAAAAGGATAGTAATGAACTTTGTAGACACACTAAGACATGAGAAAAGCAGCATCAGGCAATCTCATCACAGTACAAACATAACAAAATGTACTCATATAAGTTGTCAGTGTCTCCAAGTGACTGAAGCATGTGTGCCTTGTCCCAGATCAAAGATAGCCTCATGGTCCTTTACTGTGCCAAGCACATGGGTTTTTGAGAGACTGAGTCAGTAATGAGGAAACCTCTTTATGCAGTCCTGGTACAGAATAAGCATTAACTGTTGTATTTTGTTGGTGTCATCATGCATCCTCCATCTCTAGAGGCAGCCACCCATAGCTATGAGAGTGGTCATTCGGAGTGCAATAAAGACAATCACATGGGAGAAAAATTAGGGTCTAAGAGCCCTTTCAATGCTGAAATTTTAAGATATCAGCAACAATGTAAAAACTACCTTTACTCTTTTATTTCCTTCTAGGTACTTTCTTCTGTCTATACAAGGAACCAATGGGAAGTCTCTAATCTCAAAAGCTCAAAAAATTGACAAGCTGCCCACAGACAAAAGAAACCTCGAAATCCAGAACTGGAAAAGCAAACAGAGACCTGCCCCTGCCTCTGCTTCTGCCTCTGCCTCTGTTCCTGCTTCTGGCCCTGCCCATGCTCGGCCTCCATGCCATCCAGTACCACCTGCACAACAGCAGGACTTAGGAACCAGCACCCCAAAGAACTCTAGCCCTCCCAGAAAGAAGCACATTGAAGACTGGGTTCTCCAGAGTCCAAGATGCAGTAGAGAGCTTTCGAGGGATGACACATGCCCAGGGGATACCTTGGCTAAACTCTCTTCTGGGGAATGCCTTCTGGGCCCAAACAGGACAATGGCATCCACAGCCTATACCAGGGGACAGAAGGATGTGTCACGACACTCAAGTAAAGGCAGCCATCGCCGGTCTCAGAGTTCACTGACCATATGATGGGACTACAGAAAGCAGAGATTGATACAAACTCAGAAGAGACCACCCCAATCACTGACAAGTGACCTAGTCCCTGTCCTCTCTGTATAGGAATGACTGCCAGTTTTATCAGTTCTCCTCACCAGGCTTGAATTCCTTCAGGAAATGCTGGTCCCAAAGGGGCTGAGCAAAACTGACTGTCAGACCACTGACTCTGGCTTTCTTCTGCTACCAGGCAGAACATAGAAAACCATAGACTGGATCCAAACGTTATGATTTTGTTGCATTGTGTTTTAAAGCTTTAGCCTAAGCACTTCCTTATGTGCTTCTAAATGAGTAAAGCCTATGACCCCAATGCAGCCAGGCAGTAAATATCCAAGACTCAACCAGTATTAAAAATCATTGAAATGTATAGGAATATTAAAGTTACTAGGCTTGTCAAGCCATCACCTTGCCTCACCCAAGAGTTCAAGTTTCAGAAGAGACCTGCACACACAACAGCTTCATCTCAAGATCACTGTAATACCAAGTCCATGAATAGAGTTGGGGCTGACTCTTTCCTCTAAACCGCTGATTTTCAACCTTCCTAGTGCTGCGACTCTTAATAACATAGCTCCTCAACCATAAAATTATTTCATTGCTGCTTCATAACTGATTTTGCTACTGTTATGACCTGTCGTGTAAATATGCAGGATATGTGACATACAACCCCAAAAGCACTGTGACCCAAGTTAAGAACCACTATTCTAAGTCAAAGAAAATGACATCTGAAGATGGAAGTGAAATTAAACGGGATTTACATGTAGTACAGCAGATACTACCAAGGACTGTGGGGTTACAACTCTTATAAGAGGCAGGAAGAACACACATACTCAGGTTTTCCACTAATGGACCATATGTCCCACCATCTGAAGAATATTCCAAAAGGACATAGCATTCTCCTCATCTGCTATATATTTATTTGGAAATAAACCTGCTCATCCTCATTCATCTCTTAACAATGGGAAAAATCAGGGATAAGATCTCAGAATAGCTTCCCTCAAGAAGAGGCACATATGACAGAGCAACTAGGAATAGAGACTGACATCTTCAAGTTTAAAACCTACACTAAGCAGCTTCTGCCAGAATGCCATGACCATCATTGGCCCATGATTCGGCTAAGTTAAGCATTCTTGCTTGGGAAAATAATTATATGTGTTTCATATCCCTAGAAGTTGTAAATGCTAAAAAAAAATTTAAAGACTCAAAAGATTTCTATGAAAGACTAGGCAATAGTTCTCAAAGGCTGTCAAGATAAACTAGGTCTGTTATGACCAGCAATGGCCTATTCCAAGTATTCAAAGTTAAGTCAAGGAGTGTTCTTTGCCCTACTCGCCTATGGCAGTGCCTACACATTAGGCAAAAAAGTTCGAGGAAGGGCAAACTATAACCTTTGTGCCCAAGTCATTACCATCAGCCATGATTTGGCCTGTCACTTAATTCCTCAGCAATGATACTAAGAAAAAGCTCAACCATCAAGATGACAAATGGCAAAGCGAGCCAACTCTTTGTTTATCTTTGTGGAAAACAAAGACTGGAAGGTCCATTTGGAGAATTATCCCAAAAAAAGTTCCACTATGAAATGAATGATGCCAGCATGAGCCAGAAGGTGGGGACTTCAGTATCCTACAGAAAAGTTGACATGGCCATCTAGGAGGTGGAGGATGAGTGATGGATAACCAGGCTTGGGATAGTCCAAGTGAAGAGACTCATTAAAACGTGGATCTCAGCCCCCTTTCCCTATGAGATGCCTGACTACTGCCAATAGTCAGAAATCCCAGTAGTATATTACAGAAAATAACAGAGCACTGACTCCAGTAGATTGGAGTTTACGTGTTTGCTTTTCCCTATAGTCTTTAAAGGACCTTGAAGCAGGTCACCATGCTTGCAAATTAAGTTTAAGCAGCTCTACCTCCTGGCATAAAGATCAAGTACAAATTGCACGCCATGCACTGATGAAGCTTTCAGAAAGTAGGGGCAGAACTTAGTAGCAGAGGGAGTCTCACTTTAGAGGGCAAAGAAGGGATAGGAAAGCTGAAAGAAAATGTGATACCCACCCCTTACCAAAATCCAGGCTCTGCTCGGCATTCTGACGATGCTCTTTTTTCTTACTTGACCGGTCATTCAGTTTGCATGGGATGATCCCATTTTACTGTTTCCCACATGCCTGGGCCATCTGGTCACAAGTGGTTACTTACTTTTGCCACTCTTTGTGAACCAAACCAGCTGTGTGACTGTTTGATGTGCTCAGAGGACAGTTCTAACATTCCCTCTATATAATGCTAGTGACTGTGTGTATTACATGTTATATGTGTATAATCTTTTCACTTATTGACTGGAAACATGTCATCATTTTTTTAGAAAGAACGAAAAATAAACTTGTTTTTTCCCATAGTTCTCAGTCAATCTGAAATTCTTATTATTCTTCCTATACAGTGTCATTACTGAACCTGAATATTCATTCATTCATCCATTCATCCTTCTTTGCATTTACTCGTTCATTTATCTATCCAAGAAGCCTCAGTAAGTCCCTATTAAGTAATTCGAAGTGCAATGTAGACTGTGAAGAAGTTAATACCCACCCCTCACTTTCCTTCCATACCTACCTTCCCAAGGCTCAGGGCATTAGGAATATTGAGTCCAGTGTGACAGCAGAATACAAACTATGTCTATGGCCTATAAGAATCACAAGCAGAACATACAACAATTACATTCAGGAACTCTATTCCAACTACTTATCTCCTGCAAGCTTAGGACACACCAAAACTTAGACTGATTTGGTCATCTCCAGCATTTCATTGTCATTGTTGGTTGCAAATGTAGGTTCTAGGTATAATGAGAGAGCCTGTTTCAAGGCAAAGAGTGATAGAAGATGAATACCCAATCTCTTCTGGCCTCCATGTACACAAATATCACACAGTGATCAGTGTGACTACAATTCAAACCTCAAAAGGAAAAAACCTAGGATTATGTTGTCCTAATGACTTTTGGGTTGGTTTACTGTGTGCTACATACTGGTCTAAGCCTGTGTCACCACCTAACCCCACAGAAACCCTACAGGATAAAGGCTTATCTAGTCTGGTCCAGTAGCTTCAGTGGTACCACAGCTACCTCAAAGCTCAATGCCCTGACCTCACCCTTACTTTGTCTGATGTCAGTGGAGCTCACATGTATCTGGGACCCAACCTGAAGGATTGGGATCTCACTTCCTGCAGGGTCTCTCATCCTCAAAAAGTCCAGTTAGGCTTTGTCACGTGGCTGTAGAATTGTAAAAAGGAAAGCTGTAAGACCTCCAATGATCTATGCTGACAATGTGTGTATACTTGCTAACCACCAGGTCAATGTAAGCAAGTCACAAAGTCAGCCCTGTTTCAAGAATGTGGGGAAATTCTCTGTACCTTTTCATGAGAGGTACTGTAAAGAAACTAAATGTCATTTGCAATCACGCATCCCCACCTAGTAGAGGAAGGAGGTGAGGTAAAGAGAAGCCACCTAAAGATACAACAGTCCCACAGTTGGCACGTGGTCCATGGCATTCTAACCCTGGGAGTCTGAAAGCAGAGGCTGTGTGTGTGCTTCGCCAGAGAGACATGACTCAAGGTAAGACCAGAGGGCAAGTAAGGACTAGAACCAGATGACATTCTCTGGTGAGTCAAGGTTTCACAGTGCAGAGGGTACCAGAATTTCATCTCAATTCTGGCACAACCTTGCAATGTAACCTAGGGAAAGACCATTCCACACCATGTCGATCCAGGCTGCAGAACAAACAAAAGTCTAATGCCAGCATTTAGGGGGAGACTGAGTTACTCCTTACACTGTCATACAGTAACTCCCTGCCCCCCCCCCCCCCGTGGTCTTCCCACCACTCCAGACGGAGCTTCTAGGCAGGTGATCCATGTGGAACCCTTTCCTCTAGAAGCCTTCTGGTGCCACCTAGCAGGATAGAAAAGGGTACTGCACCTGAAATGACTTCAGACAGCGAAATCCTAACGACAGCAATGAGTTGGGTTGGAGCTAAGAACTGGAGGTCAGATTTTTTTCAAGTCTTGGTGATATGGTTTCCATGGTAACTCTAAACTAATTCTTTCATGGGTTTTCCCCTGAAACTATCAATTCAGATCACCCAAACTCTTAAATAGGGCCCTCAACTAGTTCTTGAAGCTGTTTGGGGAGGCTAGTCATGGTGTAGGAATGTCCTCTGATGACTCTCAAGCCTGTGATTTACTAGCTGTGCAACTGCATGAGTCTATATAGCATTTGCACATAAACACAGAGAATGGAAAATCCAATTTAAAAAAGCACTAGTTTCCTTCTGTCCCCTGGTGCTTGGAATATGGCATCACATGACAACAGTGTGATACTGCCATTGGAGAACTCATGAAAGGGACCTGCTTTCAGGGCTTGAGTGAAGCTGGGAAGGCATCAACTCTTTGGGGAAGGATAACAAACCTCCCAATCCCTTTGACTTTTTCAGATCAATAGATTCGTATTGAGAAACTGTTGTGTAAGGGGATCCTTAATGAACGGCCAAGGCCATTGTCACTTCCAACTGTCTGGAGGAAAGCCAGAGAAAATACATGTCTTTCCTTCACATATGCCCTCAGGCACTAGGCACTTCCATCAACATCCCCAAACACCCCTAGTAAACATGGCTGCTTATGATCTGAATAGAGCACAAAGTCAGTATCACTGTTCCCCACCAAGCACAGCACTACAACAAAGTCATATTTCTGTGGGTCGTTAAACAGATACTGTCCTACAACAGTCTGTAAGAGTGGTTCATTCCTCACAGGGAATGCCTGTGGAAAGGTAACCCAAGCACAGCACTTCAGCAAAGTCATACTTCTGTGGGCAGTTAAACAGATACTGTCCTACAACAGTCTGTAAGAGAGGTTCATCCCTCACAGAGAATGTCTGAGGAAAAGTAACCCAAGCACAGAAGGACCCTCAGACACAATTGCAAAGAGGCTAGCAAACCAAACCCTTGATGAAGTTTTGTTTAATATTTTCCTACATTTTTGAATCAATGATTTTAATTAGGGTTAGTTACAGAAGTATGGGTGAGGGGGGGTATTTAAACTACCTTTCCAGTAGCTACAATGCTGAATAAAATGACTCTTTCTTACCCAGCAAATATAATTAACTTACACATCTTCAGAGAAAGGGGGAAGTGGGGGGGGGGCTTTGTCTTAGTCACTGTTATATTGCTGTAAAGAGACATCATGACCAAGGCAACTTTTACAAAAGAAAGTATCTAATTGGAGCTGACTTACAGTTTCAGAGGTTAGGTCCATTTCCATCATAGTGGAAAGCATGATTACATTACACAAATAATGCTGGAGCAATAGCTGAGAACTACATCCTGACCTGTAGGCAAGAGAGAGACTCTGGACCTTACTTTTGAAACCTCAAAACCCACCCCCCCAGTGACACATTTCCTCCAAGACACATCCTAATACTTTTCAAATAGTGCCATTCCCTAATGATCAAATATTCAAATATATGGGCTTATGGAGGCTATTCCTATTCAAATCATCACAAGCCTTATGATCTCCTCTGGCTCAATCTTGTGAAAGTATGGGGCAGGTCACAGACAATGGTTTTCTTTAGGGTCAACAGTCATTTTATTGCAGTTAACCTGTGTATTCCCACAGATGAAAAGTTGCTAATGCATATCAATGATGAAAACCAAGTGAGAGATGAGTAGCCATGTCCAGAATCATCCAACAACGTGAAAACAAAGCTAAGATCAGAACTGTGCTCTACTGACACTCATCTTTGACCATTTCATCAGCCAGAAAGAGAGACAACACCAGTGCTTTCCATAGGTTCTGCTTGTTTTAAAAGACGCCCTCACACAGACATGAATGCCAGCAAAACACCAACGTATATTAAAAAAAAAGACTACTACACCAAATGAGTAGAATGAGAATAATAAAATATGAGGAAACAACAGATATGTGAAGAGAAATCTGTCTGACTGTGGGGTCTGTCGTGCTTTGAATAAGGATGTCCCCCACAGGCTCATGTATTTGAACACTTGGTTCCCAGCTGGTGGCACTGACTGAAGAGGTGTGGCCTTGCTAATGGAAGTATTCCCTAGAGGTGGACTTTTGAGAGTTCATAGCCTGTGCACATTTCCAGTTCACCGATTCTCCTTTGTGCCTGTACTTGATGATGTATGTGACTCCTCAGCTCCAGCCACCATGTTTGCTTGCTGCCATGCCTCCTCGCCATGATGAACTCTTCCCTCTGGAGCCATAAGCCCAAACTAACTCTTCCTTCCATGGGTTGCCTTGGTCATGGTGTTTCATCACAAAAACAGAAAGATAACTAACATGCAATCTTTCTAGAACTCCTCCTATTACTCTGCTTGCAGATGAATAGCCTTGTGGCAGCAAGCATGAACTATACCAGTGAAGGCACCCTTCAGAGTTCTCTTGTCCTGCTTGCAGAGGCTAAAATGAATTCTAAAGCCACATCAAGTGCTACTGTTGAGTCCCAATTCTGCCCTCAAAAGAAATCTCTCTCATCCTTTTACTGAATGTGTAAGATATGTACATGAAAATGAGCATAAATATCATGACCTACCAATGAGAAATACCCACCATGGCAACCCATCCTTTTCAACAACACTTAGCTGCTTTATCCCAAAGAAGCAGGCCTAAAAGTTCTCAAGTCAAAGCGGCAAGTGAGGATGGGGAAATAGATGTCTTCATCCGGGAGACTCCATGGAAGGGATTGCCTACATCCGAGGCTGTTCCTGATCCAAAAGGGCACAGGAAGTGGACGTTCTGTTCTGCTCAGGCAAGTACATGACTGCGTCAAGAGTCAACCCTGTGCTGCTCAACTTCAGGGACTAAAATATAGAACATCAAGCTAGAAGAAAGTGAACAAAGCCCCAACTAGATCTAAGAATCAGAAGACCATGCCTCATTATTGTAAATTTCTTATTGCGAGGCTTTTCTTTCTCATCTAATTAAGATGAGTTTGGTCTGCATCTGTAACTTTCCTGAACTCAGCCTTCTCCTCCATGAGAACATTTGTGAAGTCATTCCTAGAAGTCCTTGAAAGTTTCATTCAAGATATCTCAACAAGAAAAATTTTAATAATGACGTTAGAAGCCAGATGGATCTAACTCTTTGAAAAGAAAATTAAAGGCACTAGGAGGTCAACTGAAAACCTGCTGACTGGCTAAGCATTAGCAAATTGCAAATATAGATTGGAGAGGGGAGGAGTAAGTAGGTGGTAGGAAATGAAGGATATTAAGATTAATTCCCAATGTAAGTAAGAAAAATATCTTCAGGACACCACTTACATGTCCAGCTCCTAAGCCAAGTGTTCACCTGGCCCTTCATCACCTGACCTTGCCAGACTTTCAGCCTACGCTTTCA